TGAACAGTAAGTGGCGGCAACAGGAAGCTCCACCCACCCACCCGTACGTCATCACAGACACTCTGCGTATGCACAGAAGGTTCTGCGCATGTGCAGAAACACCACATGCCAGCGAAGCAAGCGTGCATGCGCACACTCACAGTTCCAAACCGGAAGCGAAGGTAAGTGGAACCCACTACTGCTTGAGATACTTATAAAGTAATAAAGGCAGGATAAAAATCCAAACAATAAAGTTTGCATGCACTGGAAGGAGCAGATTTCAGCCATGAGTTCTACCGGCAGATGTCAAAGATGGATACAAGCAAAGCACCTGTCCTACCACTGATTTTCCTCCTTACCAGGCATATGAGATGGTGGGAATCTGGCCTGATCCCAGGTTTAGAATGACTTCTGTCATCTTATAAATGCTTCTTCCTGCTGTTTCCTGAACCTTGGAAAAGTAACCACAAGACCTGGTTTTTAGTCCCTTTCAAGCATCTTTCCCACTGCCATCCATGAGAAACTCTTGTTCTTGTGCATGTTTTTCGACTTGATTTTATTGAACGTTTAAAAGAGGATTTTCGAGGCACATTTTGCAGAGAGAAAAAAGCCTCCCTGTTTGTTCTCCGCTCTCAGCAGCAGACCTTTTCCCACTTTCCTGGAGAAATGTCAATTTGCTGATCTCCTTGTGCAAACCAACAGCTGCTATTGAGGTTGGCCATAATTTGGCAACACCAGAAGGACAGGCAGCAGTGTTCGGGTGTAATGGATATACAAATCTCCATCATTGGCTGCGTTTTCCCTAGCATTGGTTTCCCGATGGCCCTTGAAAGGAACCGCAAAGGCAGAAGAGAATCTGTTCTCATAGCAGCGTCACAGATGATTTACAGGACATTTTGTCAACAAACAAACAAACAAACAAACAAACCTAAGCAAGAAGCTTAGTTGCACTTCAGCAAAGGCGTAGCTGTGATGAAAAGTTCCTGTACATAACCAATATAAGTGCCACCCAGTGATTAAACTGGGTGGCATAACTATTTGCAGAAATGCCAATTCTCTCTTTTCAAAGCAACGTTCTGTATAATGCAGGCTAGTGGTGTACCTGAAGTGTTCCTACCAATCTGTATGAAACGGTTGGACATATTCGCTCCCTTTATGCTATTTGCACCTCAACTGTAAAAACAGCCCCTCCTTTACCTGTGAAAGAAGTAATCACACACACCCCTCCCCAGAGAATGAAATATTTTGGCGGATATGAAAAGAGGAAGGATATTATATTTCCCCAAAGGAGAAATGATGAAAAAAATCTTAACAAAGGCAGAAAGCAATCCCAACAGTCTCCAGCAGATGCCTGAAATATCTAGAGATGAATATTTTGTGCCAGTGGTGGGATTCAAATATTTTTACTACCGGTTCTGTGGGCATGGCTTGGTGGGCGTGGCATGGTATGGCAGGCATGGCTTGGTGGGCGTGGCAGGGGAAGGTTACTGCAAAATCCCCATTTCTTCCCAATCAGCTGGGAATCGGGAGGCTGAGAATATATGGAGGCAGGGCCAGTCAGAGATGGTATTTACCGGTTCTCCGAACTACTCAAAATTTCTGCTACTGGTTCTCCAGAACTGGTCAGAACCTACTGAATACCACCTCTGTTTTGTGCCCATTAAGAAATCCAGGGCAGCCTTTTCACAAACAAAACATCTTCAAATCCAGATGATGGGATTAAGAATTTACATCCCATCCCCCCCCACAAATTCTAAGAACAGGATGTGGCCTTTAGGACATAATAGGATTAACCCACCACCATTAGAATAGCAAAAGGCACCAGGCTCACTACATTGCACAAACCTCTGCAGCATCTCAGAACCCTATAAAAATCCATGTGCTCATCAAACCAATTTGTCAGCTGTCCCAGAACTACATGCTGTTGTTGATTCTGCTCATCAATAAACAAGAGTCCTTCTTTCCAATCAGCCTTCATTTTATTTCCAGCACCTTTCTCCCATCTTGGAACCAGACTGGATTTTTCTTCCTACATCTGGTTACAAGAATGAGCTAGGAGAACATTTTTATGAAGGTATACATTGCAGGGGTGAGGAACGATGGCCCTTTTATGGCTTGTAGACTCCAACTCCCAGAATTCCTGAGCCAGCCATGCTGGTTCAGGAATTTTGGGAGTTGAAGTCTACAAGTCATAAAAGGGCCATCGTTTGCCACCTCTGGTATACAGGTTCAATACCTTGTATGTATCTCATATGCTATGGAGATAGTTCTCAACCAAAATACAATTGCAGCCTTGTTATTTGTTTGTTTAGTTACATCTGCCTTTATTATTTTTATAAAAAACTCAAGGCGGGGAACATACACAATACTCCTTTCTCATCTTATTTTCCTCACAATAACAACCTTGTGAGGTGAGTTGGTCCGAAGTCATTGAAAAAGGTATGACTAGAACTCACAGTCTCCTGGTGATTGGCCAAAAGTCACCTAGCCAGCTTTCATGCCTGATACGGGTCTAGAACTCAGTCTCCTGGCTTTGAGCCAAGGCCAAACCAAGAAATAGCCAGTATTGAATCTAGATAAACTGCCGATTCCAGGGCATGACAGACACATTTGTAGATCTACTTTGGACTACTGTATTCCCAGGTCGCAGTGTTTCTGGGCAGATCTATAGATATGGACCCCACTCTGTAGCTAATAACTGTGCTCGTATTTATTATGTCAAAAAGGGCAGCCTTATCTTGACTTGTTGATTTTGGATCACATTGCTTCCGGCCTCTGATTCTTTCATTCTCCTTCTGAGAGAGAGAGAGAGAAAGGGAGGGAGGGATGGAGGGAGAGATGGGGGGGAGGGAGAAAATATGAAGGAAAGGTCAAAGTAAGTTCTGTGTTGATTTCACGCGATAACTGACTGACAGGACTAAGCTGATCCAAGAACTACAAGTTTGATCCTGTGAGCCACCCTACAGGCTGGGACTCAGCCCTGTAACTGCAAGGGGATCCTGGGCTTTTTGCTCAGGTACTGAGAGCTGCTTTGTTTCCTTCTGCAACAGAGAAAACAAGCACTGGTCAAAGGTGTTTTAATAAAAGAGAAATACTTAACTGGCCTAAACCAGCCCAAAGATGGGAGAGAGGCTTTATGGGGAACGCAGCAAGGAAGGTGTTGATTCAACCCTTGTAATAACTTCATTGAATGGACTATTCCTCATGTAGTCTTCTATTTATTAAGGGTTATGACTTCTTTGCTTAGAGCAGCAAACTGGCCTCATACCTGGGGCCAACCCCAACACACCTGGTGCCAGAATCAGAACAGATCATCCTTAATTCCTTTCTTAGGAGCTGAAAGAAGGATCTCGGGTAACGCTTGTTCTTTCCTGACTTGGCTGCCAGTGTAGAAATCAGGACAGACATAGGAAACCATCTCTTTGAGCCTTTGAAGCCAGTATTTTGCTTTCAGAGAAGAGCACGGTAGAAATGCTCCATTGTATTTCTTAAAACTGTAAGCTGTGGATATTCTCTGATTATGACAGAATACAAGGAGGGAGAGAAGGACACGGTGGCTCAGTGGCTAAGACGCTGAGCTTGTCGATCAAAAGGTCGGCAGTTCAGCGGTTCAAATCCCTAGTGCCATGTAACGGGGTGAGCTCCCATTACTTGTCCTAGCTTCTGCCAATCTAGCAGTTCGAAAGCACGTAAAAAATGCAAGTAGAAAAATAGGGACCACTTTGGTGGGAAGGTAACAGTGTTCCGTGCACCTTTGGTGTTTAGTCAGTTGTGTACATCTTGTGCTGTGTCAAATCTCTCTAATTTGGCATTGAACATCCATAGCTTATCAGATAGGTGCTGTTGTTTTTGTTATCCACTATCCATGGAGATGCCAGAAATTGGACCAATGTTTGCCATTTAATCAGTTGGCCTGATTAAATCCATTGAGACTTGCATCCTGAACCAAAGTCATTTGTCCCACCTGCCAAGTTCCCTGATGCCTTCCAGGATAAGAGTAAAATTGGAAATCATCTCCTAGATTAACCTCTAGGGAAGAGAAATAAAAGTAAGCATACTATGTTCATAATTTCCTATCGTAGTTCCCTCAGAGGGAGACTTTTTTTGAGACAAGACTTATGGCAGAATATTAAAGGGAAAGTAAAATATGCTTCAAGGATAAACAAAAAGAAAGAGTCAACTGTCAGGCTGAATCAGAAGGATTTCACATAAGGCCCACAAGCATGCCTTTCCTCCATTTCCAGGGTCTGAAATTCAACATTTGTCCTAAATAAGAGCATGTAAGGGGACACGGTGGCTCAGTAGCTAAGACGCTGAGCTTGTCGATCAGAAAGGTTGCCAATTCGGCAGTTCGAATCCCTAGCGCCGCGTAATGGAGTGAGCTTCCGTTACTTGCCCCAGCTTCTGCCAACCTAGCAGTTCGAAAGCATGTAAAAAATGCAAGTAGAAAAATAGGGACCACCTTGGTGGGAAGGTAACAGCCAGCCACATGACCACAGAATTGTCATCAGACAGCACTGGCTCTTCAGCTTAGAAATAGAGATGAGCACCACCCCCTAGAGTTGGGAATGACCAGCACATATATGTGAGGGGAACCTTTACCTTTACCTTAAGAGCATGTAAAGGAAAGATATTTTATGCAAAACCTGCAGTAGGAGACTTTAGGTACCCTTGACTTACAACTCACTGTTGCTATCCATACCCCTCCTTCATGTGGAGAAGGATTGAATTATGCCTCCAATTTTTGGCATCTACAGTAGTTGATAAGAGTCAATTACATGAATAGAATGTAATGTTTTGGTGGGAGAGCCTCTCTTGCTCTCCTCTCCCTCCCTGAATAAATAAATGTAATTGCTTTTTAGTTTAGCAATCCTCAAAACCACCGTGAGTCAGTGCAGAAGAAATATGTAATGGAGGCAGAGCTGCCAATGTCTTTGTTTTTTTTTGTGAATTACCATAGGAACCGATCACCAGGAGTGAGTCATAATGGATGTCAGAGCTTTCGATGGGACTTGGCTCCAAGTGGTTCGTATGAGTCCAAGGGTTTTGAAGTCATGGTGTGCCATAGACAGGAACATTTTCTCCTTGTTAATTCCTCTCTTATTTTGTATCAGGTGAGTGAAAGGAGAGCTTCATTTAGGGAATCTTACCTGTCTTCTAATCACGAGAGACAACCTGCCCACCACCATCATCCTTCCTCAAGATAACACTAAATCATCCCAATGGTTTTAGCATCCCTATTATTCTTTTAAAAATGCAACTTCACAAAGATAAAAATAAAAAAGCAGGAGGCCAAACATTACAGGGTCATCCCTTGATGTCTGATGTCACCCTGATGTCTGATGTCCCTGCCATAATCCCTGATGTCACCCTGCCATAACCTCAGAAGCCAGGGAAAAACCAATAAGACCTCTGTCACAAAAAAGTCACCCAACTCTGACCTATATAAGACAAACAATACAGGAAGAGCGATCACCAAAAAATGGCTTTAATGCAGTATTATTACCGTGTTTACCCAAAAATAAGACCGTCTTATATTTTTTTGAACCCTGAAATAAGCACTTGGCCTTATTTTAGGGGAAGTCTTATTATTTTGGGGTGTGTGGAGCAAGATAGGACTCCTCTTGCCATCTTTCCTGATTTCCAGCTCTATCTCCCTAACCCTAACCAGAGGAAATGGCTGGGAGGGCTGCACATGCATTTAAATATTTTTGGGGAGGCCTTATTTTCCATGGGGGTTATTGGGGGGGGGTTATTTTAGCGCATGCACTCAAAAGCCCGATTCGGCTTATTATCCAGGGAGGTCTTATTTTCGGGAAAACACAGTATAAATGTAGAGCTCCTTGTTTGCTCAGAAAATGCCAGCTTTCTGTTGCTCTCCTATCAAAAGGTATCTAACAGAGAGATTGCAGTTCTTCATTCTGGTCTCTGTTCAGGATTGGCAGTCTTCCAGGTATGTGACACAGGTAAACAGTCATTTGCAGTAGTAACTGGGGCAAGGACATTTGATAAGAGGAAATGCAATGGTTTAATGAAGTGTTTCTCAACCTTGGCAACTTGAAGATGGGTGGATTTCAACTCCCAGAACTCCCCAGCCAGCTCAGATCATTTATCATGCAAACAAAAATCTAAGAAGACTTCTGAATTGAGGCCTGTCATACCTGAACTACAAAAATCTGGATAACCGCAGGATGGCAATAAATACAGAATATAATCTAACCCTTCATTGCTATCTTGTGGTCGTCTGAAAGTTTGCCATTCAATAACATGGGATTCTGATCTCATTGTATTATAGGCATTTCTATGCTGGCTCCACCAGTTTCTTTCTTTCTTTTTTTTTTTTGGTTTTGTTTTGTTTTTTTAAATTTGATTTATATGCCGCCCTTCTCCAGAGACTCAGGGCGGCTTACAATGTGTTAAGCAATAGCCTTCATACTTTTGTATATTTTATACAAAGTCAGCTTATTGCCCCCACAATCCGGGTCCTCATTTTACCTACCTTAGAAAGGATGGAAGGCTGAGTCAACCTTGAGCCTGGTGAGATTTGAACTTGCAGTAATTGCAGGCAGCTGATGTTAATAACAGTGCTTTAGTCTGCTGCTCCACCAGGGCTCTGTTATTGTGATATCTGGTCTGGATCTCAAAAAGCCTTTGTGATGTAGACAGAGGTCGTTGCTTTATGATCTAATTCTTGTCATTAGGTAGCTCTGTGTTTTAGATTCTGCTAGAGTATAAGAGTTAAGAATGCAAGTGTTATTTTTGATAGGCCTGGGATGTCTGGGTGGCTTAAGGATGAAACCTGTCTGGCTTACGTGCAAAGTGTCCACTCACCTTGCAGGTAAGACCCCAAGCAAATGTTTTAAACATGCCATTGATTACAGGGTCTCCTATCTCAGCTGTAACAGCCTAAGGACTACTTTCCAAAGTTACATTAAAGTCGTTTGACTAATAAAGCCTAAATATCTCATGATTTCTATGGGGCAGGAATATGAAAGAAGGAGGGGGGGAAACCCTCCCAAGCTTGCTGACATCAGCCAGTTTATTCAGGTCAATGGTTGCAGTGGTTTCTAAGATTTCCAGCTATTGGACTTTGTTTTAGCCAGCCAACATCAGTGGTTTTGGAAGAATTTCAGAAGGATTATAAATGCTGCTTAAAGACGCATTATTTCCCAACAAAATAGCTGAAACCACAGCATGCAATTAAGGCAAAGCTTTTAAGAGGGACACAGCCAAGGAAGAGTGCCCATTCGCATGATTCCAAACATGGCATTTGTCTTCAGATGTGAAGTGTTTCATAAGGTTTTGGAAGTATATCTTATAGCGATCTTCCTCAAGTCTATCAGATTGCTCACATTGTTTTCTTTACTTAGACCTATTGGCAAAAATAGGACTAACAATTTGCAAAAAAAGCAAGCAAGAGAAGAGAAGCAGCTGGTAGTGTTGCTAAAATTAAGGGTAGGAAGCCTCCTGGTTTTGAACAAAGAGACGTTTCACACTGCTTTTGAATAGCTTGCAGAATCACTTGTGTTCTTAGAACACAATTGTAAGAAATGAATGCATACTTCCTATACACATACATGTACATCATGCCACTTTACTACTCATTCTATCATGGAGATCTATACTAAGCAACTTGATGGAAATGAAACAAAATACTTTAAGAGCAAGTCATAAGACTTGATTGATGTTTGTTTGTTTTGTATGTTGTATTGTTGTTTTTATGTTTGTTTGTACTTTTTAACTAATTTTTTTTTTAAAGGAAATAAAGCAAAGTAGTAGGACAAATATTTGGACTTTGCTTGAACAGATTAAAACAGCCGGATCTTTTTCAAGTTCATCAGTGAATCTTAAAACAAACAGATGTTTTCTGTTTCTTCAAGGAATCCAGTCATGCCAATTTTACAACAGAAGCATTATTTTTTCTAGTGCAAGAGGAAGCCTGAACTTTTATATGAATGGCAGGGAAGTTATCCAAATGAGAATTCTGAAAAAAGGTTCTTCTCCTTCATTAACCAAAAAACAATAACAACCCAGCAATAGCACTGGAATTAGAACAAGGAAGAAAATAAAGGAAGGAACAGAGGAAAAAAAGATCATAGATGTATTGGTGGATTGTTCTGGCCCTTCCTCCATATAAGATTTCAGATTTAATCTTATGCAACTATATTGCTAGAATATCCATCGATAATAATTTTAATGGAAGGTTCTTGAGAAGACAACAATAAAACAATTTATTGGAAATGAAGTGGAAGATGATCTCAATAGAGGTTATGCTAGTTTCACGATGATTGGAATTACCAAATAGTTTAAATCAGGGCTGTCAAACTTACGGCCCGTGGGCCTGATCCGGCCTGCGAGTTGCTTAAATCTGGCCCGTGGGACCGACTTGGAAATATCAAAGGACCGGCCTGCAGTGCCTCTGCCGGGCAAAATGGGAGATGTGGGGGGGGAATCTCGTTAGTGAGATTTAATTGTGTATCCAGTTGTAGTCCAAATGGACCTGGAAATGTTTCCATGCAGCATGCATATTTTCTGAATCTTTCTAGACATTTAGCAATATATGATTTATGATACATGCATATATGATGATTTTGTTGCATTGTACAGCGTTCCTCTTTACAATGGATATCTGGAATAAAATTTTAATGTTTTCAAAAAAATCTATCAAAAATGAAAAATGGGAGGGTCAGCTAAAGTATTCTACATAGAGTAAATTAATATTTCAACAGGGAAAAGGGAAACCTGAGCTAATATTGCCCAACAATAACAAAGTGTTTACAATTTTATTATTTGGGGATGAAGAAATGCCATAAATAAGGCAGACGGATTAATACATAAAGAAGACAAAAAAAGAGATATGGATGAATTAAAGAGAAGTGAATTGTTTTGTTTAAAAGTGTTTTAAGATTCTAAATGTTAATTTATTATTCAACCCAGTAAGTATACTGTAAATATAATACCCAGGATGTTGTTTAGGTTGTCTTAGCTCACATTAGGCTTTTGAACATCTCTGTTCTGACAATATTATGCACATATTCAGATCTGCTCCTATACAAAAGAGTCAAGCAGCTGAGGACTCCACATGTCTTTAATCTCTACATTATGGAATTGAGTAAACCTCCCTTTGTCTGGAATAGCTGTTTTGAATGCAAATGGGAAAAATGCATCTTGAGCCTGTGTCAAATGCTAACCATGACCACACCTACTCTGGCCATGGCCACCATGACCACGCCCACCCCGTTCACCCCCACCCTGGCCCTCCGAGGTCAAACACAACCCTGATGTGGCCCTCAATGAAATCGAGTTTGACACCCCTGGGTAAACCATGCATAGTCTGATCCACTTCTGAATCTCACCAAATTATTGCATGAAACTGATAGTGAATCCTCCTTCTCTGGGAGATGCAGTGTATAAGGAAATACCCTGATCAAAGTCAAACCATAGAAAAAGGGGAGGTGTATTATGGAGAAACAGCTGGATTTTAAAAATACCATCTTTTTAAAAACATAACTGTTTTGTGGATTCCAGCCATATTGGTCTATACCTTTAAAGTGCTGATAATTTCATACAGTACCATTATTAAAAGCAAGTGGAAGTGAGTGAGCCTTTGTACTCATGAGATCTCTTCTCCGGCTACAAATTGTTAAGTGAAAAAAGGGTGAAATTAAAAGAAAAGAAGTTTCTCATGAATAGCCCAAGCATGGAACCCGATTACATCTTTCCACTTAAATAACGGCTTCCTTTTGTGAAACAGAGAGGGCACAGATTCCCTGTTTCATGTGTGCTCTCAAATTCTCCTCAAATTTTCCCCTGCCCAATCGTGTCCAACTCTAGGGGGTGGTATTCATCTCCATTTCCTAGTGGAGGGAGCCAATGTTGTCTCAAGATGCTTCTGTGGTCATGTGGCTGGCATGGCTATATGGCAGGGGTGGGCAAATGTGGCCCTTTTACTGTGGCCAAGCTGTCTCAGGAATTCTGGGAATTGAAGTCCACAGGTTGTAAAAGGGCCACATTTGCCCACCCCTGCTATATGGTATACACCAAAGACGCATGGAGCGCTGTTTTCTCCCCATCGAAGTGGTACCTATTTATCTACTCGCACTTGCATGCTTTCGAATTGCTAGGTGGGCAGGAGATCTTCTAATTAAGGTCTATCCAATTAATATCTCATTTGAAGATAAGAAACATCAGACAAGAAATCAGGAGACTTGTAATTATCCCTCCATGTTTACCACAATATTCTTCTTTCACAAGTGAGCCTTGGCTGATCTCAAAAAGCTAAGCAGAGTTACATCTGGTTAGTGTTTCAGTAGGAAAGTACCAGAAAACTCCAGGGCTGGGTGTTAGATTGGGAAATTGAAACAAAAAATTCCCAGAAAAAGACAGTGGCAAATCACTTTCAGCTGTTGAAAACTACACATATGGGTCCATGAAGCCACCAGGAGTAAGCTTGACTTCAAAGAGATTTTTACCTTAATTTATATAAGAATTAAAGCATACACATACACACATATACCATAATGCCAATATAAATTAATAACAAAGTACACTATAAACTTAGAAGTAAAAAGAAATAGATTCTAGATTCTGCCTTTTTTAATTGTTGGATAACCATTTGTCTGAAGTTGTGTAGGGTTTCCTGCCTGGGCAGGGGGTTGGACTAGAAGACCTCCAAGGTCCCTTCGAACTCTGTTATTCTATTCTATTCTATTCTATTCTATTCTATTCTATTCTATTCTATTCTACTCTAATTGCTCTGAATATACAGCTAAGGAAGGCAGTTGTCAATGTGCTGGTAATAAAACGTGGTATTTGTTTAGAAGCAGGCACCATCATATCTGCCTATCATGTTTTTTTAAATATCTGTTTCCTTTGTGACACATGTTCTAATCTTTGGCAAGTAGGTAATGTATTCTACTAATTAATTTGCCTGATGCAAAACTAATTCATTATTCTTTTTTAAATGCAGTCAGCAATAACTAGGTGCATATCTATCTAATATAAACATATTTGTTTTTTTAAAAAAATTGATTTATATGCTGCCCTTCTCCGGAGACTCAGGGCAGCTTACAATACGTTAAGCAATAGCCTTCATACTTTTGTATATTTATACAAAGTCAGCTTATTGCCCCCACAAACCGGGTCCTCATTTCACCTACCTTAGAAAGGATGGAAGGCTGAGTCAACCTTAAGCCTTGGAGAGATTCGAACCAGCAGTAATTGCAGGCAGCTGTGTTAATAACAGGGTGCTTAGACCACTGTACTATCAAGGCCCATGTGGTCAGATATTGTCTTTTTTGATAGAAAGTACACATTAAAGAAAAAGTTGAGACTCACTGGCAATTTTAGTTGGTATAGTATGAAATCTTTCCAGTTGTTGGCCAGTTGGGAACTTCAAAAGCATGTCATCAAGACATTTAGAAGAAGGAAAAAAATATCAAAATTACACTGGCGGCTTCTTATAAAGAAAACCTGTATAAAATGTTTTACAGGTGGCACTTCCCACCACAAGATTGGCAAGAATTAGTAAAAAATTACTCCCCAATTTGTTGGAAATGTGAGGCGGATCTAGGGTCATACTACCATATGTGGTGGAAGTGCTCAAAAGCAAAAAGTTTTTGGCAGCAAATAAGGAGCTGGTTAGAAGAGATGTTAATGTTCAAAATAGAAGTCAAGCCGGAATTTTTCTTATTGGGCATGATAGATGGCAAATATGACAAAAATGTAACCTATTTAATATTGCATATACTTACTGCGGCAAGACTAGCATTTGCTCAAAAATGGAAGTGTAAAGAAATACCCTCAGAAGAAGAAGTAATACACAAAATTTACAGCTGTGCAGAGATGGACAGTCTTACTTTAGAACTCAAAGACAAAAGTGAATCAACATACTATGAAGTCTGGAATAAATGTTATAATTGGTTAGAAAAGAGGAAGAATGCCAAAAACAAAGGATAATGAATGTCTGGAAATGTATATATCAATGTATATCAATATATCAAGGTATATTGAATAATTTTTAACCTCTAATCTCTAATTTTTTTTATAGGTTTATAGGTAATATAGGTTTACTAAATATATGTATAGCTGTTTAGGAAGTAAAATACTGTATACTTGATATATAATGAAATAGGAGATATGTAAATCTGTATATAGATTAAGGAATATATTACTTATTAAATTGAACTTGACGCAAATGTTAGAAATCAGAAACGTTGAGCAATGTCCATTGTTTTACTTTTAAAGCTAATAAAATATTTAATTAAAAAAAAGACATTTAGAAGAATTTGCTTTTTCTTTTCTTTTTTTTTTAAACAGATGGGTATGTGTCCAAACACAGTGCTGGACTTCAACCACCAATTCTACACCTGAAACCCAGCCCAACAGGATCTAAGTAATCTGCTTCTTTCAGAATTATGTAAGGTTGCAGCTCTTTCACTTTCCTAAAAAAAAAAAAAATTAGAGATTAGAGGTTAAAAATTATTCAACCCAGTTGGATTAAAACGTAATATTTTGAGGAGGGTTGTACTCCATTCCTCCAAGACAGAAAGCACAATCCCTGAAAAGCACTTTTACAACCTCTGGAATTCTGCCCCACACAACTGCCCCACAGCTGTCTGAAGAAGCCATGTAGACATGTACAACTAGAAGGATACCTAAAATGCCAAGTTAAACAGACCATGCATTTTTGAGGGGGAAAGAAAAATAATATTGGTCATTTGTGTTTTGAGGTGAGGTGCTCTAGCTGCCAAGAACCCTGTCTACTTCCTTGGAGCCAATAAAAGCAAAAAAAGTTTCAGAAAACTTTGCAAGATGTTATCCCAGTGAGCTCACTTTGTTCCTGCCAATGTGGAGATGAAGTTGAAATGAACATGAAAGATTTTTGTATGCAAAATGTCTCGTAACCATGTCACAAGCAGCTAAAGAAAGGTAATTCTGCCTACACTTCTCCGCTAGGCTATCGGTACCTTAAGCAGGTGGCATTTTGTGGATTCAATTAATGTGGAGAAGTATTGGTGATTTTTCACCGATATAGTCAGAGGGCAATATTTTTCAGACAGGTCATATTATTAAAAATATCTGTGCAGTAAAAGACAGAGTTTTCAATCTTTTGAGAAAGTTGGTGGAAGGAGGAGGAGGAGGAGGAGGAGGAGGAGGAGGAGGAGGAGGAGGAGGAGGAGGAGGAAGAAGAAGAAGAAGAGAAGAAGAAGAAGAAGAAGAAGAAGAAGAAGAAGGAAGAAGAAGAAGAAGAAGAAGAAGAAGAAGAAGAAGAAGAAGAAGATTTTAGTAAAATAGCTTAGACCCACTATATCTACATTTTCTACACATCTTTGCTGTCCTTTACTGATTGTCTAATTGTCCGCAGTTTAAATGTCATAGGCCTAAACTAGGTGTGCTACAAATATTTTGATTAGAGAAAGGTAGAAAATTGCCCTGCTGTAAATCCATAATTTTCTGAAAAACTTAGTGGCACCTGTCTCATTCCACGAAAATGAGGCTGGGCTCCAAGCAGTCTATGAAATGCCCATCTCTCTTCACAGGGATCAAAAGGTAGTGAACCAGCTTTCAACCTCAGTAGAACACCCTTTCCAAAAATATATTGAGGGCTGGCTTTAGACTAAGGTCAAGCAGGTGCTGGTTTAGAGGGCCAAAGTTTAGGAGACACAAATGTCACCCTTCCTTCCATAAACAAAGGCTGTGCCAAAGATGCCAGTCTTGGCATTGGCAGGGGGTACCACCATCAGTCAATGTGGGCTAAGGTGTCCTTATCTTCAACTGGCATTGGGCATCTTCATTGGCATCCTTTCTACTCCTTTAAAACCCCTTAGTAGCAAGACATTGTGTAAGGATTGAACAGGATTTTACTTACGATGAAGAAAACTTGGTTTCATATACAGGTAATCCTCGACTTACAATCATTTATTTAGTGACTGTTCCAAATTACAACGGCACTGAAGAAAGTAACTTATGACTAAAAGTTTTCCACAATTATGACCGTTGCAGCATCCCCATGGTCACGGGATCAAAATTCAGACGCTTGGCAACTGGGTCATATTTATGACGGTCATGGGATGGAGTCATGGGATTTCCTTTAGCGACCTTCTGACAAGCAAAGTCAACGGGGAAGCCAGATTCACTAACCACCGTATTACTAACTTAACAACTGCAGCGATTCACTTAATAACTGTGGCAAGAAAGGTTGTAAAATGGGGCCAAACTCACTTAACAACTGTCTAGCTGAGTAATGGAAATTTTGGGCTCAGTGATGGTCGTAAGTCGAGGACTGCCTGTAATGCCAGGATTTACCATCATTGCCCTTCCTTATAAATGGAGCCCACAAGGAGTGAGAACACTACAGTCTAAAACAGAAGTGGCCGACATAAGAAGAAATCAGTGCACGGTGTCTAAAGAGAACAAGGATGCGCCACAATTTTTCCACAGGAATCCCTTGTAGCTGCTGCTTAATTGCTGTAACGTTAAGCCTTGTGTGGGTGTAACAAGCACTTAAATAGCTGCAGTTTAGCAAGGAAAAAAAAAATTCAGCTCCTCGTTCTGGCCCATTCTGAACCTCCCCTTTTCCTCTGATTTGCCCTGCCAACCTGCCTCCCTCTTGGCAGATGATGTCAACTTTATAAAACCGTTGCTAAGGGATCTTTTCAAGGCCTCATAGGTCTAGTGAACGGTCCCAGGGCTTTGTCAAAGCACAGGGCAGAGGCTATATTTAAAAAAGACAAAAGCTGTTCGTGGAACTTTCGTGAATTGTAGTGTGATAATAGGAACAGTATTTTGTTTTGCTTGGACAATCGATGCCTTTAAAAAACACTTTTAAAGCACCATATCCCTTCTTCAGCAGGAAAGAAGAGAGCGGCAGCTTTGGATGTATCTAGAATACAGAGATGACTCTAGATTTTGCCACTCCAGAGTGGCAGAGTGACAGAAACAAAGAATTGTTTTGGGACACAAATGGATTGGATGAAGAGGACAGAAAGTGGTGCAAACAGTGTTGAATGAAGTCCCGTCCTCCCAAAATTCTACCCTGCTCATGAAGCATTAAAGACATTGAATTATTCCAGAACGTTTGTGTGTTTTCATTGCCTGCTTTTTTCTTCTTATTATATGTGTATACTAAAGCAGGGAAGAGCAACTATTGCCATTTTATGACCTGTGGACTTCAACTCCCAGAATTCCTGAGCCAGCTATGTATCCCACAATTCCTCCCCTGCTGGCTCAGGAATTCTGAGGGTTGAAGTCCACAGATCATAAAATGGCCATAGTTGCTCACCCCTGTACTAAAAATTAGCCTCAACAACTATTGGCTAAAAAAACATTAGGTTCTACCTTCTTATATCCATTAACATAGCACAGTTATGCTATAATACCTGTTTATTCAAATATATCTTCCTTTGGGTTCAGTGGGGCTCATGTAGGTGACCATCATATTGCAGTCTAAGATAGCAGATGTCTATGGAGATTCCCAATCATCCAGTTAGAACTGAAGAAGCTTTTTGGACGAGAAGCGAAACGCTTTCAAAGGGGAAAAAAAAACCAAGAAAGTCCAGTTGCTTTTTGGAAAAAGCACCTTTGAGACTAAGATAGCAGACTTCCAAACCTCTTTTTTTAAAAAACCTCAGTTGGTGATAGAACCCACCCAGGCATACTCTGGATTTTTTTTCTCCTTCATATAAAGCCTAAATGAAAATGGTGGTTGGTCAGAGCAGGGAGATCCATCATCAGCACCAATTAGGCCTCTATCATAAAGGAATAGAAAGTTCTTTGTGACTGAGCTGCAGTTTAATTTATGTCATCACTTAAAGCTACTATTTACAAGAAGTGGGCTCATGTGGACATAATAAAGAAACATTTATTTTTGATCAACATTACTATATCATCACAGTGTTGGGGTGTGGGGGGGGAGACAGGCAGAACTTCTTTAGGAAATAAGAGCCGGAGAGCTGAGCAAAACCTTTCAAACTTGAATTCCATGTGGCATGTACTTGCTGACTCAGTTTTCCCAATTAAGCGATCAACAAGGAAGGAGAACTGCAGTGACAGTTCACAAAGCCAATGTGAAATTCCTCTTAATTAGGTTGCAATTAAAATAGCTGATCTGTCTGATCTAGAAAGTTTTAGAAAGGCCTCTGATGTAGAAGATTCTGCCCTACTGCCAAACCGGCTTAACATATTTTTAAATATTTTTTAATTTTTAATTGGTCTGTTATCTTAAATTGGGACCAAATTAATATATATCCTTTTAACTGTTTTTAATGTTTATATTGTATGTTTTTATCTGGCTGTACACCGCCAGTCACCCGACTGTACACCCGAGTCCCTCGGGAGAAGATGCGGTATATAAATTCAAAAAAAAAAAAAAAAAGATTCAATGCCAGTCATTTTCTACATGGAAAAGGAGAGTATATTTCTTCCATCTCCAGCAGCCAAATGTCTCAGGCAAAATTTGCTTTGTATCCAGTCAGTGAACTGTGTTTTATTTCTGTCTCCCTCCCAATGGTGTGGGATCCACTGAATGCTTTGCACTATGATAATAGCACTTAAGAGTTATATACCGCTTCACAGCAGTTTACAGAGTCAACATATTGCCCTCAACAATCTGAGACCTCATTTTATTGACCTCAGAAGGCTGGAAGGCTGAGTCAACCTTGAGCCGGTGAGGATCGAACTCCTGGCAGTCGGCAGAATTAGTTTGCAATACTGCATTCTAACCACTGCGCCACCATGTCTCCAAATCACCTGAGATTAAGATCCAGGGACATTCAAGTTCAAATTCCCAGTCTCTGGGTTCACTGAATTAATCTGGTTTAATAACTTTTTCTCGTTCAAATTCATTTCACAAAATATTTGAGAAGTTCAAAGTAGATCCATGTACAAACGCCAACTTGAACGCTAATGTCATCATACTATACTTCAGATTTGTTTACAAGATGAAGAATTTAGGATTTCTGCAAAGTCTAATATTTTCTTGGTGTACAGTAAATTTTTCAGAAAAACAGGGAAGTAATTCTTTTTATTAAACATTAAAGGGAATGCATTTAAATTTTGATTGGGCAGATTCCAGGGGGAAAAATGGAAAAATTTAGGGAGGGGGGGGGGAATAGGAAACAATTGCTTCAGTCTGGGATAGGAAATTTAATTCATGGCACTTGCCACCCTGACAATATTTTAAAAAGTGACCAAAAACATGTTTGTTCCCCAGGCCTGAGAACAGTGGGGGTATCCAGCTCCTCTGGAATTTTATCCAATTAAGTATTCTTCTTTTTCCAGACACATGAACTTTGTTCTCCTTGCTTTATTGCCTTCCTTGTTTTTAATGTTGCAAGCAGTCTGGTCTTGTGCATTTGATAGCTTCTAAAACTGAATGAATGTATACATGAATGAACCGATGAATGAATGAATATAATAAAACAGAATGGAAATAAAGGGAGAAACCGAGAACTTGGGAAACCACATTAGCACTATATCTTAACCTTAATGTTCTGCATTGTTGTGAGTTAACATATGGTATGAACTTAGCCATTCCTGCTTGTAAATCATAAAGTACACATTTGCATGAAAAGTAAACCCACCTACTTATAGCTTATTCAAGAAATTATAGCTAGGCATATGTGCGAACTGGGTTGAAAATGTCTGTTGGCATTCTGGTTGCATCTCTTTGTTGTACGTTCATTTCTATAATATATCCTGAGAAGAAAATAACATATAACACTGAAGCACACTGAAAGCTTACTTGCAGTTAGTAAAATATCAAGAACGGTTGCAGGAACTGGGTATGTCTAGTTTAATGAAAAGAAGGACTAGGGGAGACATGATAGCAGTGTTCCAGTATCTCAGGGGCTGCCACAAAGAAGAGGGAGTAAACTATTCTCCAAAGCACCTGAGGGCAGGACAAGAAGCAGTGGGTGGAAACTAATCAAGGAGAGAAGCAGCTTACAACTAAGGAGAAATTTTTTGACAGTTAGAACAATTAATAAGTGGAACAACTTGCCTGCAGAAGTTGTGAATGCTCCAATACTGGAAATTTTTAAGATGTTGGATAACCATTTGTCTGAAGTGGTGTAGGGTTTCCTGCCTGGGCAGAGGGTTGGATTAGAAGACCTCCAAGATCCCTTCCAACTCTGTTTTTCTATTCTATTGTATTCTAGATGTTGGGATAACATCATCTTCATTTTGGACCATAGAGAGTTCTCTCTCTGCAGTTTATACCAAGAGAAATGGCCAGAATCCTGTTCAGCTGAATTTATCACATCTTCCAAATACAGCTGGCGTGCTTGCATCTGTGAATACGCTACAGTACATATAGTCCTCAACTTACAACTATTCATTTAGTGGCCGTTTGAAGTTACAATAGCACTTGAAAGAAAGTGATTTATGACCACTTTTCACGCTTAAGTCTGTGGCGGCATCCCCACATTCACATTGTCAAAATTTGGATGCTTGGCAACTGGCTCATATTTATGATTGCAGTGTCCCGGGATCATGTGATCCCCTTCTGCAATCTTCTGACAAGCAAAGTCAATGGAGAAGCCAGATTAATTTAACAATTGTGTAACTAACTTAATTGCTGCAGTGATTCACTTAACAACTGTGGCAAGAAAGGTTGTAAAATGGGGCAAAACTCACTTAACAAATGTCTCGCTTAGCAACAGACATTTGGGCTCAATTCTGGCCATTAAGTCGAGGACCACCTGTATTCATTTTATACATCCGTTTTATCTGAGCCCAAGTCCTGCAGTAGTTTTTTCCCTTTTACGCTCTTCCTTAAAAAGCAAAGACTTGCTTAAAGATTTTATCCCACAGAGCTCAGCTCTTTCCTCTTTATTTCCTACAAAATAAAAAAGATTATTTTCCCTCTAGCTTCAAAAGCACTGATACCATATCATCGGCTTGGCTGAATTATCTTGTGTATTTAGTCTCCCCTACCGCAGGAATTGCCAAGAGAGAGTAAAACAATCTTACTAGGTAAGAGATACAGAGACCAATGAAAAGCCATGTCAAATTCTAGCCCAAAGGGAGACTGAAGTCAAAGCAGTTAGTGTTAGGCATATTCAATGGGAAAAGTTGCAAAAATTAAAGTTACATATCCATTTGCACCTCCTTTTCAGCCTCCAATGACCCCAACTGTTTTTCCCAGCAAACTCTTGCAGTGCTTCCAAGCAGGACCTATTTCTCTGTTATAAATATCTAAATTGATTGATTTAGCATCTAAGTGGACATATACTCTGTTAACCGAACAAATAAGGTTTGCAACTAGATTACTGAATCATATCAACCTTCTATTCTATAACGATAGAATCAGATGAGCCGAAAGCTATAGAATCTATAGTCTTCTGCTCATCTCTGACTCTATGTATTGTGTCCCTTTTCTTTTCCAGTTGATACACCACATTCCATAGTGTCTGAAATACACAAAACTTTATTAAGTTTTTGCCCGGAAGATTGTCCTTTAGGCCTTTTGCAGTTACCTCTATAATCATGCTCAAGGAATCCACATTTTCCTGGCTGTGTCGGTCTTTTGTATTTGTAGGTTGACATTATCTACATGAATTTGCTAATAGGTGTCTGGGGATGGGACTAAGTGACAAAGTCAGTGTCCTACTGTCCCAATGCAAAGCCCATCGCATCAGGAAACAAGCACAAAAGTCACAGGGTTTGCATCATGACATCACTGCATATAAATCGTTAAATTTTTCCATTATCACATTTACCTGCAAGGGAGTGGTGCGGTGACTGAGAGGTGGAGCTCACAGCCTCACTATCAGGAGGCTGTGAGTTCAATCTTTGGTAGAGGCAGACATTTCTCTCTCTGGTCACACTGAGAATATATCTGCTGAACAAAACTCCACATTGGCGACAGGGAGGGCATCCAGCCATTAAAACACTCTAGCTCCATTCAGTTGCCCAGACTCCACCGCGCAAGGGATTATGGGGTTGTTAAAAGATGATGATGATCACATTTACCTGCAGCTTTACCTTCATGTTAGAGGAAATGACACGAACAATGGCGTTGTATACATTCAAAATGTCATATTCTGGCAGAATTAGCATTACCTTCCACATATGATTGATTGGTATGGTTTATAGCGATACCAATATCCAGCGTAAGAACCAATTCTCTTAGCCGTGTGAAGATACAGAAAAACAAGGACACCTTAAAAATGAAAAGACACTGACTAATTGTTTTCCATCATGGAGCATTTGCTTGCTGCTTATATTTTATTCCAATATAGCATGTTCCAAAAATACATAAAGAGCTTCGCGGAAGTGTCTGCCTGGGCTTTTAAAAAACAAACTGCTAACGAATCACACTTGCTCTGCATGGAATTCACTTGAATTGTGCAGCGTCCAAAGCATTTGCGTTAATCAGCAAGAACCGGGAGCATTAACACAATCACAGAAGAAATTCATTCAGATCTTACAGAGCAACACCAAGGCAGTTTACAGAAACAATGCATAATGTCTCTGATGCATTTTTTTCTTTTAATATGGAAAAGATCCTGAACTGCAGATTGGAGTAGCAGGGAGGGAACAATTTAACAGTCATGATTATTGTAATTACCTTGGTCATGTGTTGAAGGTTGAACTTGAATATACTAGAAACAAGTCCAGCATTCAAAGCTGATGAGAATGAAATGAGACTCGTGACGATATAATTTGGCAGCAGTCCTGTGTACCATAATTTGTGTTCAATAGCCTCTACGTTCATAGTCCCTAAGGACTGTACTGATGGGGGAAGGGATATAAATGACATTTCTTTTCTTTTTGCATAGTTGACTGACAAAATGTACAACAATCCACCGTGAAATGCAACTCTGAATAAATGGTTAAAAGGGTTGTTTGATTGTCAAAAGGGAGTTAAGTGCACCATGTAAGAATTATGTTTTTTTTTTTTAACCTGAAATATCCCTCTCCAGCGCACTGGTCATCTTCGCTTCATTCAATTTTGCCTTCCCTAAACTGGGCTCCCAAATTATGCTAGATTACAACTCCCCCAAATTGTTTTAATTCACAACCATGAGACTAGGAATACAATTATTCTTGTAATTACATCTCGGCTTCACCAACCATGATACAGTAATTTCTTACTTCTGAAAAGAGTTATGTGAATCAAGCATTTTGGGACTGTAGACTTTGCAAATTTAATCTGGGATGAACTCCAACTGAAGTCACTGGGATATCACCTTGAAAAGATATATATATAAAAATGACAGTTTCTCTTACTCTGTTTTGCTTTTTTTTTTTTTAAATCTGACTCTAGAATAGAGCAAAAATCACAGTACTGGTTGAGAACCGAATGAGACATGGAACAAGTGAGAAAACTGCTAAGATGTAAAGTAGAGCTCTATGAATTCTAGCACTAAAGTTAAACTGATAAAAAATCTTTGTAAGCCATTCTGCTGTTGGAATAAAATAGTTGAAATAAAAAGCATCTATAATTAGAAGTCTCACGGGTTCAAAGAGGATCATTCACAGCAAGCAAACAAAAAATAAAATAAAACCACCAAAACACTTGGAGAAACTCAACTATTTTTTTTTAAAAAACCAAATCCTACCAACATAATTACGTTATTCAGAAAACAAGTACAGGTAGCCCTCGAGTTATGACAGTAATTGGGATTGGAATTTCCGTTGTTAAGTGATGCGGTTGTATAGCGTGAGGTCACTTGACAGCACCACTTAGCAATGGCAATCTTGACACTTCCCATTGCCATTGTTAACCAAATCCTGCCACTTTTTAGGCAAGGACACATCCTGATTCAAACCACCCCGGCTTGAACCCTCTCCGCCTCAAGCCCTACTACACAACTGTAACTTCAAGGACTGTGTGTTAAGTACCATTTATTCAGCACTGCTCCAACTTTGAATGGTCTCCGAACAAATGATCATAACTCAAGGACTACCTGCAAGCCAGGCACTTTTGCATCGTACAACAGCAGATTAAAGACTGTTTTTCCTATGGCTTCATCATACAATCCTGCTGTATCATGAAAGGCAGCTGTACCTGATACACCGCTTTCATCAACCACTCCCACGTCTGCCACGAGGTCAATAAGGAACAGCGTATAGGGCCAGGGCTACCTATGCCTGGACACCTGACCAGACTGAATGAAACAGTGGTCGACACTGTATCCTCCTAATATGCCAACACACCTTTCCGCCTTACAGCTATGCTTTGGTACAACAGCGCTTACAGGTAGGTAGGCACAAATGTCCCGGATGGTGCCTTGTTTGCTTTCTATAGTTGCATCAAACTTAACATTGCAAGGGAGACAAAGTTCTAATGGGAATTATAAGCCACTTGAACAGAAAGCTAAAACATCTTAAAAACACCTCCTCTGTCTGCTAACCAAAAGTACAAAAGAGACTCTGCTTTCATGGGAATCATTTATTCTTTTCAAGCAGTTGAAATGGGATCAGGTGTTCATTTACAAGCAAACTCATGGGGCATAAAATACTCAGTTTGATTCATTGGACAGGTATGGTCAGCATCAATCTCATTTTACAAATGCAGACTTTTGTACTTCAGACAGTGGGTTAAATCCTTTCCCAGCTGCTTCTTTGAAAGGCTTCCTGCAACAAACAGGATCTATATAAAACAAAGTGCCTTTGGTGTAATTGCTCGGTTCATTTTCCATGTACTTGTAACGCATGGCGTAAAAACTTGCCAGCAATTCATTTAACCAACTTAGTGTTGAAAAATTAATGATGCCACAGGCGTGATCTGGAATCTTTGTATGAACAAAAAAAAAAAAAAAACACAACACAAAAGGCCTCGAGCAGGAAATCAATTCAGAAGTATCTCATATGTTACCCAAAGAATCAATCATCTGGCTATGATTATGTAGGCCTCACATAAAGGAAATGAAGTGAAATGGCTAGTAATTAAGTACAGATTATAGTCCTGGAAATACTCAACTGTGCCTAACTTTGAATTCAAAGAGAACACAATTTTACTAGTATTGCAGAACTTGAGATTTATATATTACTGAACTATGTGAAATAGTAAAAGTAATATTTGTCAACATTTTCATCCAATCTGCTTATTAGATTCGATTCAGTAGCATATTTTTACACAATTCTAATACAGGTAGTCCTTGATTTACAACCATTCATTGAGTGACTGTTTGAAGTTATAATGGCTCTGAAAAGAATGACAATGTTTCACACTTAGGACCACTGCAGCATCCCCATAGTCATGTGATCCAAATTTGGACACTTGGCAACTGACTTGTATTTATGACAGTTGCAGTATTCTGGGGTTACTAATTTAACAACTGCAGCTAACCACTACTGTGGCAAGCAAGGTTGTAAAATGGGGTAAAATTCGCTTAACAACTGTCCTGCTTAGCAACAAAACTTTGGGATTCAATTGTTGTCATAAGTCGAGTACTTTCACTCTACCTCCCACTCTTCACTATCAAATTTGTTCTGGAGTTGGTTTTGAAGGGCAAATGAGCAAATCCGGAACATATAATACCAGAGAGGAAAGAAATGAAAAATCTTAACTGCAGTAATAGAAGTGTCCTTGCTTAATAGGATGAAAGCCAGCATTCTCTGCATCAAATTACTCCCAAAGCCTTTGAGAAGATATATAGCAAGACAATTAGCAGGCAGAGGGAAGATATATTAAGGTACCCTCACGAGACAATTAGGGTAATAAAGAAATGAAATGAAATAGTTGCACTGACTTTCTGCAGCATTAAAACCTACTATCCAGTTAAATGGGTAAAATAAAAGTGGAAGGTTTAGCTTGTTTGTGATGTTTATAAAATTGCTGTCTCAAACAAAATGTTGAAATACAGGAAACTGTATTTCATAATTTTTCCTTGAAATGTGCAGCAAAGCAGAATTCAGTTTATTTGGACTTATTTCCTTTATTTGTGAATGTAGTAGCATCTGAATTAATTCAGAGCATTTTAAATTGAATTAAGAGCCAACCTTTTTCTCTGACAGATGTAATACAAGTACTCTTGATGTATTTGTGGACATTTTCCAGGCAATCATTTAAACTTAGTTGGGCATAACGTTCAGCTTCCCGCTTCCTTATGTTAAAACCAGAAAGAACTACCAAGGTGACAGTAAGAAAGAAGCAGAGATCTCTGGCAGACTGGATCATGTTTTTAAAAAACCAGAGGCATATAACTAAACTATCACAGTAAATCTTGATAAGTTTCACTATAGTCTAACATGAATTATTTGTGTGTTTGTTTGTTTATTTATGGAGAACAATTGTTAGTAAAACCATATTTTTCCCATGAGTAAAACAAGCAAACATATTACTCAATGCTTGTCATGGCCTGGTCCTAAACTCTGAGTATGCAGAAGAAAATATAAGCAACAGTAATCTTAGAAAATGCTCACTTGAAGTTTTAAATTTCACATTTACCAGTTTTAAGAGATATTCTGCCAGTTCTGTTTTAAAAAAATAAACGTATACATCTAACCATTTCACAACTGTAAAGCCAATTTTAAAAGTGATTTATTTTTATTTTATTTTTAAACCAAGGCGAATATAAATTAGTATTTTTATTTTCACTCCTGATATGTCTCATTACAGGAATTACTGGCTTCCTTTGGAAATAATAAATTGTAAAGTTGGCATCTTGTGAAAAGTATTTTAATCAGGTATTTTCTACAGCCCTTCTCTGAAATTAAATTATACGCTTTAAATAGCTCCTTCCGGTTTCATGGTCAAATCTGTACCAAATTACCACCAATAAAGATCTTAGACCTAACATTTTTCATGCACTGTAGGTTTTTTCCCTCCATCTTCATATGCTGAAAGTAGGGTAAGATTCCCATCCTATCTCCCAGTTCTTTCTTTCCTTCTATAGGTAGCCCTCAATTTATGACAATTGAGCACAGAATTGATGTTGCTATGTGAGAAGTTTGTTAAGTGAGTTTTACCCCATTTTACGACTTTCTTCCCACATTTATTAAGTGAATCATTTAATTAAGTGAATCACTGCAGTTGTTAAATTAGTAACACGGTTGTTAAGTGAATCTGGCTTCCCACATTGAGTTTGCTTGTCAGAAGGTCGCAAAAGGGGATCACATGACCCCGGGACACTGCAACCATCATAAATATGAACCAGTTGGCAAGCTTCCAAATGTAAATCATGTGACCATGGGGATACCGAAATGGTCATACGTGTGAAAAATGGTCATGTCACTTTTTTCAGTTATAACTTTGAATGGTCACTAAATGAACTGTTGTATGTTGAAGACTACCTGTATAAAACCTCCATCCACCCTTCAGCTTGGGGACTGCAAAATAAGAATGTGAGAAGTGTCGACAAATTTCTCACACCTCTAATGTTCCATTGCACTGCAGGCCTGTTGGTGAACGTCCCAGGGACTAGAAGACGAAGAATACCAAAATAATAATAATAATAATTCCATATGTCACTACTGCAAGTGCAACACTCCAACCCTAAAATCATTTTTTTCAGTTAGCATCAGGGGTGAAATCCAGCAGGTTCTAACAGGTTCTGGAAAACCGGTAGCGGAAATTTTGAGTAGTTCGGAGAACCAGCAAATACCACTCTGACTGGCCTCCAAGTGGGGTAGGAATGGAGATTTTGCAATATCCTTCCCCCAGGAGTGGGAAGGGATTTTGCAGTATCCTTCCCCTGGAGTGGGATGGGAATGGAGATTTTGCAGTATCCTTCCCCTGCCACGCCCACCAAGCCATGCCCACCAAACCCACAGAACCGGTAGTAAAAAAATTTGGATTTCATCACTGGTTAGCATGCTATATAAAACAGTCAGTTTTGTAGAAAAGCCTATGGCTGAAATAAATTCAACCTTTTAGCAAGCTGTTATTTGAGGGCTTAAGAGCTGAATAGCAGAGTTAATACTGAAAGATTTAAAATGAGTATGTTTGAATATTTAGCATGAGCTGAGAGGAAAGAATATTGGTTCAAAACCACCCTCTAGAGCTGAGCGCCTCAGTCTGCTTCTAGCCAAACTGCACCTGGATAAAGATAAAAAGAGATATGAAGTTCTTACATCTGTGTTTGTTTTTTTTTTTTTTATCCTATCTCAAGGAAGATAGAATAAAAAACAGATTTAGGAACTGATTTTTTCACTTTTTAAAAAAAGGGATTAATTAGTTTCTGTAAGACTCTTTTGGAAACACAAGTTTGTTGGCAAGCACCTATACAATGAAGTCCACAAAATTCCTTATTAATACTATAGATGGGAGAATGCACAGGGATTCCTAATCACAATTATCCCAACAGAGTGGTCCATGGTTAATGGCATCACAAGGCAAGCTCTGCCTTTTCATGCTTGTATGTAACAGCACTTACAAAATATCTAAGGAGCAGAGATTGTATTGCAATAATGCAATATATATTATTACTTCCTTGTAAGTGGGGTATTTTTTTGCTCCCAGGCCAGCAAGATTCTTCCTCCAAGCTCAGAGCTGCTTATGAACCAGACGGGACTTTCAAAATCAGCCCTGGTTGAAGACATACTCAGTCATGTTAGGAAACAGCTGGATTTCATCTTCGGTAGGTTGGGTCTTAAAACCGTGGAAGAAATACCGGCACATGTTTAATGGGCCTGCTACATACTGGTCCCTTTCTGGCTTGCTATTAATAAATATTTTAATAGAGCATTAGAAAGAAAAGTAAGATTTCAAAGGATAATGTTTAACCAATTATCTAAAATATGGGATTCAACAATGTATGAAAAACTACATGGACTTCTGCAAAAATAAATGGTTTTCTTCCTGTGGAAAGACACTGTCAAGCCAGTTTTAAACCTGGATTGAAGAAGCACATTTATTTGAACTTGTCCTATACAGGTGGTCCTCGAATTACATCAATTTGTTCAGTGACCCTTCAAAGTTACAATGGCACTGAACAAGTTACTTCTGAACATTTTTCGCACTTACACCTGTTAAGTGGTCATTGGAATGTATTTATGATGGCCGCAGTGTCCCGGGATCAAGTGATCCATCTTTTGAGACCTTCTAACAAGCAAAGTCAACGGGGAAGCCTGATTTACTTAACAACCATGTTCCTAACTTAACTACTGCAGTGATTCACTTAACAACTGAGGTAAGAAAGGTTGTAAAAAGGGGCAAAATTCACTTAACTGTCTTGCTTAGCAACAGAAATGTTGGGTTCAATTGTGCTCATAAGTCGAGGACTACCTGTATTGACATAAAAGTCAGATTTAATACTTCTCTGTGTGATCAAAGTTCAATTTAATAACTAAGTTATTTCCTTATGCATGTGTGCATTTATATAATTTTATGTTTGCGTTATGTTTTTCCTTTTATTATAAAAAAATAAAAACAGAATGTACTAACTTATGACATGAATTGCTTGGTTCTGGCTTATCACGATATTAAACCTAACCATTACAATCTGCACAATCTTAGTGTGATCTGTGAACCAACCCATGCTTTACTTAAGTCAACTCATCATGATTAGTCAACTTGTGGCTCAGCATGACATGCCAATCCAATGATTGGATATGAAGTGTCAGCTATGCTACTGATAATTTGAAAAAATCATTGTAGGCAGCATTTTGGAGGGCAGCTGATAGAATTAAATAAAGATAAATTAATTGAAAATATTTCTGTTCCAGATATCTACATGTATGAAAGCTGATGCTTTCCTTTCAACAGGCTTAGTAAGCAATGACTCAACAAAGGATTTAAGAAGAAAAGGGATATGACCTCTATATATAATGAACTTGACAAGTAAATTATTAACTAAAATAAAACCAGTCTCATTTACAATCCAGCACACTACCAGTGCAAAATGGAAATCAGTTGGCTTAAAAACTATCCATTTTCTTATTTGAGTAACAGAAGAATAAATTCCTCTTAAAAGATTCTGGACAAAAAAGTGAAGTCTTTCAATACATTTCAAGTAAGCCACAGTTGGTTTACCTTGATGGGTATTGATCTGCAGAAGATAGTAATCTTACGCAAACAAAAGTTTCCCTTATTGAAATTTTGTCGATACGTTCTTTCCTGACAAGTTGTAAAGATTTGAATATGCAAATTACAGTGCAAAACTATGTTTAAAAAACACAAATGCATGTTAAGACTAAAACTGATTATATATATTTCTGATCTTGCCTAAAAAAAGTTGTACATTAAAAAAAAAAAGCAAACCCAGAACTGAATTAGATATATTGGTGCTTTTTTTTTTTACTTTCCTTCTTTTTCCAACATATACAAATGGGAGAAATGTTACTTGTTTCAAACCTTAAGTCATGCTTCTGTCAAATCACCCACAATTGTTGCACAATGCCATGTCTTCAATAAAGATTCCATTAAACTTAAAAATGCAAACAAGAAAAGATGATGAGGTGGATGATCGCCTATTGCTTTTTCATACAAGAACTTTTTTTTGCCTATTAAAACTAGGATCCCTTCCCACCTTACATGCTCCTAGTTCTCCTATGGCTCCTTTCTTGCATCCAAGAGCAAGAAGATCAAGCAAAAGTTGCCTAGAAGAATCTCCTTTCAAAGATGTCTATGTACAAAGAGAACACTGCCATAGCTGAAATTAAAATGGGTTTTTCCTGGTTTTTACACAGATCCAACATACTTCTAGATTGGAAAGGGACGCAGATACGGTACAACAATTAAATCTGTTCTAGCAGCTTTTCACTGGCTGGTTTGCATGAGTGCCAAGAGATGAATTCTTTCCTACATGAAGTGCAGTAAGGAAGCCTCTGAACAGCTAGCCAACACTTTTAGGTGGAACACAATAATCCCCCACGATGGTGTGTACATGCATGAACTAAAGCCATTTCTGACAATGATCTCCTTTGCTTCTATACCCTCGAAGGAGTTGTTACATACTGCTGCCTTTCCACCTCGGATTATCTTCTGCTACTTCTATTGCCTTTGGAGCCCAACCATCATCACCACCCAAGACTGAAGAGCTTGTGCCAGCCCTTATTCATGCTTCAGTAAAAGCTCTACGTTGTTGACGTCACAGATAAAAGGGACAAACTGCATGCTAAGCAGCGACCCGAACACCAGGTCATCTCTCACAATGACAGAGGACTCTCTGGCTCCCCAATTTTCTCCTTCTCTGGGAGGATAAGCACAAATGGGAGGAGGAGACCTTTAGCATCGAAGGGAGTTTTGAGCAGTTCTGTATCAAAGGTGCCTTTAGGTCCCCCGTTCGCTTCCACCTCGCCATTCTGAGCCAAATTGAAGCTCAACATCCCAGTCCGGTTGACACAATAGATGGTGCTGCCCAATGCAGCACAGCGAAAAGGTTGGACCGGGCTGCCAGCAGGGCGAAAGGAAGCACACTGACGCCAGTGCTTGGCCACCGTATTATACTGGAAGACTTCCACGCCGGCGCTCTGCCCTTGTTCCCCACGGCTGCTGCTCACATCGAAGCGGTAAATGAAGCTCTTGTAGGCCACCATGTCAGCCGAGCGGCGCCGGCTGCTGTTGTAAGGACACTCCTGCCACTCGTCCCGCTTGGGGTCGTACTTGAGCAGCCGGTAGAAGAGGGAGCCTCCAGACACGTAGATCTCCCCGTTGCAGGTGGTCGCCTCATGAGCCACAGCAAAAGCCCCCTTGGGCAGAGGGGCCACAGGGCTCCACCGGTCCGACCGGGGGTCGTATTTCTCCACCGTGAAGAGGCATTCCCCACCCACCGCGTAGAGATACCCATCCAGGGCCAGGAGCTTCAGCTGAGAGCGTGCCTGCCCCATGGGCTTGACCTGGCTCCAGGTATCAGTTAAGGGGTTGTAGCAAAACACCTTGTCCGACAGCTTGGGCCGCTGGTCGCCAGGCCCGGTGGAGATCCCGCCCGCTAAGAAAAGATAGTTGTAGAGGACGCACATGGCGCATCCCTTGGCGTTGGCCTCCTCGGGCAGTCGGGTGAGGACGCTCCACTCCTGGTCCGCCTCCTGGTAGCTGTAGAGCAGGGCGCCACCGTCCTCCAAGGACACCACCGAGGACGGGCTCTGCGGGCGGCTGCTCTCGCGGCTCTGAGGCCGGCTGCCGGCGCCGAGCCGCTCGAAGGCGTCGCTCACCTCGGCCACCAGCAGGCAGGCCTTGCCGGCCTCCAGGCGGCGCCGCAGGATGAGGTCCCGCTCGGCTCCGCTCAGGCGGCCGTAGACGGCGGGCTCGCGCAGCACCTGCAGGTAGTGGTCGCTCATGAAGCGGAAGGCGGCTTCGCGCAGCTCGGCCAGCCGCTGCTTCTTGGCCAGGCAGAGCAGCTGGTAGCAGTTGTCGAGGCTGAGCTGGGCCCGCATGGCCTCGGCGGCGCAGTGCAGGGCGCAGGGCATCTGGAGCACGCGGGCGCCGCTCACCACCTCGGCCAGGTTGTCGTGCCGCACCTCGCCCATGCGCGCCGTGTAGACGTACTCCAGCAGCAGGCGCAGCGCCCCGTAGCTCACCCCTTTGAGGCGCAGGATGTCCCGCGAGGAGCGGGCGCGGAAATAGTCGCTCTTGGCCGCCAGCACCGCTTTGTGCGCCCGGATCCGCCGCCCGGACACTTCGATCACCAAATCCGGCTCTTCGGCCGGCGCCTGCGAAGGGAAAGGCTGAAGGGGCGACTCGCCGATCGGATCGGGGCTGCCCACGGAGACCGGCGAGGGTTTGCCGCGGCTGCTGCTGCTGCCCCCGCCCTCCTCCTCTTCCTCCGACTCGGGCGCCGCGTTGTTAATGTCCCACTGGTGCTTCACCACGCGGCTGCTGCTGCTGCTGCAGCTGCCGGACGAGGAGGAGGAAGGAGAGGCGGCGTCGAGCTCCGGATGCGGAGCCTGGTCATCATCGCCGCCGCCGCCGCCGCCGCTGCCGTCGCCGGACGAGCTGAAGCAGAGCGCTGAGCTGAAGCTGCAGGGCGCCTGCAAGGGAAGCTGGGCGTTCGGCCCTTCCTCGGGCGACACGATCGGCTCCATCGCCGGGGACCTCTCGCCGCCGCCTTCCGCGACCTCTCCCGCCTGCGGCTGCTCCGTCTCCCCGCAGCGCTTCTTCACCTCGCCGACGCTCCCGTTCTCACCTGGGGAGAGAACACAAGACAGCGCTGAGCGATCCATCGGCCCTCCCGCCGCCGCCCCGCGGCTCAGGACAGCTGCGCTCCTGCCCTTTGCGCTCTAGTTCCCCGCCTGACGGAGCGATCGGGAGGCGAGGGGTAGGTTCGCCCCGTCGCTCCCCGCTGAACTTTTGAACTGTCAAGGGCAGCCAACTCTTCGGGCTGCCCGGTGCCGCTGTTTGACCAGGCGGGGCTTCCCTGGGTGGCAGCGTCGAGATTAAAGTTCAGGCGAGTCTCTCCGGGCCAAGAAAGGCGGGCCTGAACGGTGCTGGGCCTGCCTCTCTCTCCCCGCCCCCTCCCTTTCCCCTCCTGATTTTTTTATATTTTCTTTCCCCTTTTCATTTTTATCCATGTATTTGCTCAGGTATCCAAAACAAAAGAGGAAGAAAAAAAAATCACTTTCTGCTAAACAAACATTTGGCCTTAATCCAACTCTTTGCCCATGATTACATCTCCATAGTAAGCACCAGACATGTCATGATGTGCTAAATTTAATTTTGTCAACTTTAAATAAGACTTGTGAACTTCAATTCCCATAATTCCCCAGCTGAGCTGGCTAAGGGAATTCTGGGAGTCTTAAAGTCTTAAAGTTGCCACGTTTGGACACCACCATCCTACAGAAATGATATAACAATGACCTCTAGAAATCATGCAAATCTGGGTAATCTTCAAGCTTTGTTGAATATTATATGCTTATGAAGTTTTAAATAATTTATTCAAAAAAGGTTAATTGTCATGCTTTTTTGTTTGATCAGTGATGAACCAGTTGAGGTTTGTACTGGCCTCTATATTTTATCAGGCATTGGCTTTACTGTATTGCAAGCCTACATAAAGGGTTAAAAGCTTGATCATTAGGGGAAAAAAATGGGAGTAGTTTGCCAATTATAAATATACTTGGACCCTAGGCAGCTAAATTCATATACCTTGCCCTTTTTGGTTCACATCTGTTCATCAATTTTTTTTCAAATCCTGTTTTGCAAAAATATTAAAACGAATAAAGGAGTGAGAGAAGGTGGAATCCTGGCCTCTACTACACAGTACTTAGCATATCAATGATCTAAAGACCATAAAATTTTGGGGTTTGAAAAACAAAAGTTTAAAAATACATCTGGAAATTTCAAAATTGTATAACAAAAAAAAAAAAAAAGTAGAGAATTTTAGTTATTTGGCATTGCATTTGCCATGCTGTAACCTGCCAACATCATTGCAAGGCAATACTTCTGAAATCAAAATCTATTACAACAGCCTTGCTTCAATATCTTTACTCCAAAGGAAGATTTTTCCTGCAATAATGGATCACATTTACTGGTAACAAAGCAGCACAACTGCTCGTAAAAATCTTTTAAGACCTCTTTTAACTGTTCTAAATTGTGGGACAAATTCTATTATTCTCTTGAAACCTGGGCAATGCCCTTTGACAACAAAGGCTTGGCTAAGCTCTATTAAGTTTTGGTGGCAAATCTATATTTTAAAAACAAGGAAGGACTGCTTCAGGAAATGCCAAATCCATCCTTTGTAGATATGGGGTTTAAACAAAACTCAAAAAATTGATCAGATTGGCATTGATAATCCTAATTATTTACTTTCCAGAGCTATTTGCACAAAATCAGAAGCAAATTCTATGTGATAGCTTGGTGAATGAAAGGGTGCTACGAGTGTGTGCTTCAACACTAAGCCAAATCAGCAATATGTGTACGGCCTTTTTAGCATGGTATTGTAATCGTATTTATTATTTCAATTCATTCTCTACCGTTCCATCCGTGAACTGCTTAAAGTTAAATAACAAGAGTAATAATTTAAAATGGTTACCGGTAAATCTAAATTTAACTAAACTAAAAACAATCAGTGTAGTTCAAATGATTTAGAAAAAGGAGATCCTAACTCCTTTTCATAAATGTGGAGAGAAAGGGAGCTAACAGCAACTTTTAAAAAATTTCCAAAAACCAATCACAGTAATTTTTGAACATTAAACAGAGGTTGAGTTTGCAGAAAAACAATTATGTAACTGTTTTCCAAAAAGCCAAACATCATCAAAGCTTCAAATTTGGCATCAAATCATATACAGATTTTCAACTCTATGGTAACTTGCTATGCAATGTTATAATACTGAAGACCTGTCAACCTGGTATCATCCTCTCACTAATACCTCTCTATTCAAACATGAATGGAAAGAGAAGTGGATTTATGGTGTCCAATAGCTTTCCAAAGCTGATGTATAATTGAAATATCCATTAAGTGAGACTAACTTAGATGTCTTTTAACATTTTTATAGTTTGCAACAGTCCTATTAGAGAAGTCTAGTCCATACATATAAATAACCTGTTACAGTACCAAATGATTTATCACTGTAATTTAGCAATTTATCTACTTGCAATTTAGATTTTTTGTATTATTAATGAATATTGGATATGTGGACAAAAAGGGCTCCTGGCAACAGATGGGCTACATTTCATAAAAGTCTTGGAAGAATGGCTTTGCAAGACATCTTGATAAAGTCATCTGGAGGTATTTCATTAAATACAGAGGGAGAGGATGGCCATTACTTAAAACCACATCCAAAACCAGACCTGGATATTTTATGGCCTACCGGCCACATCCGACTCTTCAACTGTCCCTGTTTGGTCTACAAGCTTGGTAACATCAGGACAGAGCAGCGCAGGGGGTGGCGAGGGATGGCAGTGGTCCTCCACAACAGTCCCAGTTTCTCATGTGGACTCTTGGGAAAATTAATTGCCCCCCCCGCCCAAAACAGAAGACCAAAAGCAGTAAACTTTACAACAAGGAAAAGGTAAAAGGAAAGAAAGAAAGTGGTACTCAAGAATACACCAGGAGATGCTGCAGAGGATTTTTTTTTTTTAATTTGATTTATATGCCGCCCTTCTCCGGAGACTCAGGGCGGCTTACAGTGTGTTAAGCAATAGCCTTCATACTTTTGTATATTTTTATAAAGTCAGCTTATTGCCCCCACAAACTGGGTCCTCAATTTACCTATCTTAGAAAGGATGGAAGGCTGAGTCAACCTTGAGCCTGGCAGGATTCGATCTTACTTTAATTGCACACAGCTGGTGTTAAATTACAGAGCTCTGTCTGTTGAGCTATCCAGGCTCCTCTGGATAGCTTTAAGGAGGACATTAATTTAAGGAGGACAACATTAAAAGACTCAGGTGCTTATACAATGCACAGAATACGGGCAAAAAACAGGAAGAACTTAATCCTAGTATAGGATGGCATATGTGATATTGTAGGTATAATTGCAACTTAGTGAGACAGGATCTATGTTACATGGCGGAAAGAATGCAGTGGAGTACTTCAACTTCAGTCCTGGACCCAATAATTTTCAACATCTTCACAAATGATCTAGATCAGGGGTGTTAAACTCACGTCATCACATGATGTATTGGGACTTCCCCCCCCCCTTTGTTAAACCAGGCAGGGGCGGAGGCAGCACATGACGCATCCAGCCCGTGGGCCATGAGTTTGACACCCCTGATCTAGATGATAGACTAGAAGGGATATTGATAAAATCTGTTGATGCCACAGAGCTGGGGAGAAGGATGCTGATACTCCAAAAGACAGGTCAAGATTCAAAAATATCTTGATAGACTTGAATTTTGGGTCCTATCCAGAAAAATGTTGATTGATGAGAAATGTTAGGGGTCTGCATTTAGGCAGGCACATGCAAATGTTAAATGCCACCTGCCCTAGCATTAGTATTTGAGACAAAAATTTGGGTATCTTGGTAGACAACAGATTATGCGTCAGTTAGCAAAGTACCACAGGTGCCAGAAAAGCCAGTGCAGTTTTTGACTGCATCTATAATGTCAAGATAATAGGAACTGATAGCATCACTCTGTGTTGCCTTGGTCACACCACATCTAGAATACTGCATCCAGTTCCGTCCTCTACAATACAGTAAAGACACTGAGGAACTGGAAAGAGTACAGAACAGAGCAACAAAGATGGTAAGGTGCTTTGAGGCTAAACCTTATGAAGAATGGTTAAAGGAACTTTGTACCTTTAGCATAAAGAGGAGAAGGCTAAAGGGAGATACGATAGCTGTTTTTCTATATATGGAAAGAGGTTGTGGATTTATTCTCTAGAGAACATGAAGGCAGGAGAAGAACCAATGGGTTCTTTAAAGTAAAAGATCTCAACTGCAAAAATCCAAGGATCCAAGGATCTTTTATAGTGAAAGATCCAAACTTGAGGAGGAATTTTCTGAATGTGAGAACAATTATGATAACTTGTGGAATAGCCTACCTCCTGATGTTATGGGTACTCCATCACTGGAAGTTTTCAAAAAAAGACTAAACCATCATTTGTTCAAGATAGTATGAGGACTCCTATACTGGGCAAAGGAGTGAGCAAGAAGATACCCAAGGTCCCTTCGAACCTTATGATTTTAAGACCCTGATTAAATATTCCTCGTTTGGGAAGAGTTCTAAAAATACAAGACCTGTATTTCACCAATGTAATGATAATAGTTGCAAATGTAATAGAAAAATAATTTAGTGAGACTTTGCAATAGCCTATTTACTTAAAAAGGATTTACTTTGAGGTTAATCCTACAAAAGCCTATTCACACTTAAATCCCACTGTTTTTAACACAGCTTGCTCACTAATGTGCATAGGTTGCTGTCTTTGGTCACTTAAACTTGTCAATCAATGGCAGCTCAAGTGATAAGTTTTTTTTACAGAATTTTTGCTTATATTACCTGAATTTCTTGTGATGGATGGCATCCTTTGTATTCCTTCTTCAAAGGGTTTGAGAATCTGATCTTTTTTATTATGATGATTATATTTGACTGTCAGTGGTGTCAGATATAGGCATTCCAAAATTGTTTCAGTGGAATAAATTAGCTGCAATACTGTATATTTTTTTCAGAACTTTTTGTTGTGACTGCAAGACTTCATTCAGCTTCAAAGAGGTCTTCTGTTTATTAGGAGGCCATTGGCTATCTTCACCACCTATATAATTAAAAAAGAAAGTTGTAATGATCATTACTTTCAGAATGAAACAAGTACTGCAGTACATGTTTTGTCTGGAGTAATTCCCAGAGAGGAAGTTTTTATTATAATTGTATTCCTTTTAATAGTGGGGTTTGAATCCCATAAACTAAACACATTATTTTTTTTTTCTCCAGAGTTCCTTTGACCTGATGTAAGTCCCCAAATGGCAGTTCATTATCCTGTTTTTTTACCAGAATGAGAGAGTATAACATTTCTGTCCACTAATTAGGAAAACCCATCTAGGTATAATACCATACAATTAATCTAGCGCAGGAAATAATGATCCAGGGTCAGATTTTAAATTTTTACCCACATCAAAAGATTTATCCAGCCCATTTAATGTAATGAAGATGAAAAATATGTTCACTATGCAGTGTATATGAAATGAAAATCAGGTCCTGGATCTCAGCATAAAATTACAAGACTCAACATACATAACTGTCAAGTTACCTGACTTGCTAAAACTAATCTGTCAAAAGCAGTTTGAGAAAGGGTTCACCCCAACATTTTTGCCACTGATCAGTCACTAAGTCAAGTCTGATTCTTTGCAACCCCTCGCACACCAGCCTCTGGTCCTCCTCTATCATCCCCTTCTCCTTTTGCCGTAAATCTTTCCCAACATCAGGGTCTTTTCCAAGGAGTCTTCTCACCTCATTAGGTGGCCAAAGTGTTTGAGCTTCAGCTTCAGTATCTGTCCTTCTAAAAAACATTGAGAAAAAGTAATAGTTAAGAAGCTTGTCCTAAATCAGGTTCAGTATTAAGCAGTGGCCACATCAACATTCTCCTCTTCCATACTGCGGTGCAGACCTTATAATTTCCAGCTAATTGTGTTATTTAGCAAAAAAAAATGATCTAATCATGTGATGCAAGATATCTTGTCTCCAAAACAGCAATGATTTTGATATTAAGATATTATCTAAAATTATATTTTAAAAGCTGATGCTAAACTGTCAATGGTAGTCCAAACACACAGCATATCTTGGCATTTTTGCCATAAGGATCAAAAGCTCTTTAGATGGTTTACAGTTTTTAATATTTCAAAGTGTGATAGTTAACACTTGATTCTAATCACTTTCTTGATTATTTGTACTTGCACATCAACTTAGTGCTGATTCTTATTAACCACATAGATAGATTTCTCCAAGAGGCTCTACTTCAACCTTATCCTTCAAGTCTTCCAATTGTGAAGCCATTTTACTAGGGTAACCTAATAACTTTACAGTTACAATCACCAATTTATTTTTATGATTTAAATTTCCTCACAAACGTTTCTTAGAAATGGTGCAAAATATGCAGGTCAGTTTTCCTTTAGTAGCACAATATTTCACATTATTATTATTTTTTTTGTAAAGTTTTTTTTTTTATTTTTTACACAAACACACACACAAACATACAATGTATTTTTGCTGAACAGAGTATTTGGCCTGTTAACAAATTTAAACAATTTTAGTCCTTTCAACTAAAATTACAATTTGTATACCTCCTTTTTGCCATAATATTTATTTTCATCTATTTTTTACCAATATTACCCTTAATATTTCACATTATTGTGTAAGTTTCTTTTTTAACTTTTAAAACCTTGAAAATAGATTTGAAAATAGATTTGCACATAACGGAAAATGTTGTGAATAGGAAGAGGAAGATGCAGTGGATATGTTAGCTGCCTTGAATTATTTGTAAAAATAATAAAAGTGGGATACAATGAGACAAAAAACTAAAATTACTAAAGACCAAACAAACTTGTCCCTACCTTGTCAAAGTGTCCCTCATGGTACCCATATATCAAATGAAATTTCTCTTGGCAGCCTTCACAAGTGACTTAATTAGATTTCTCAAATGCATGCATGCATAAATACATACATACATACATACATACATACATACATACATACATACCCCTAGCATACTGCAAAATGAAGTGAGGCAAAGTGTTAGCCTCAGACATTATTTTTATTGACAACATGCTTTTGATTATCACACAACTCCAAAAGTCTTTTTTTCCAGAAATAAAATTGTTTTTAACACCCAGCTGCTTGGGGGATTACCAAAGGGAAGTTCAGGAGATACAGATTATAACATAATCGCCACTTCATCTGATATATTTCATCTTAATTATTTGTAATTGGGCTTTAGTTTATCTGTCTCTCTCTCTCTCCCCCCTCCCATCTCTCATCTATTTATCTGTCCACCTTTTTTCTTTCAAATTGAAAGTGCTAGGGAAAAACACCTTTTAAATTCTGCTGCTATGTTGCTATCTTATTTATAACTTATTCATTTATTAAATTTAGCTGCCACCCATCTCATTGTCAAATCACTCTAGAACAATATAAAAGTTAATAGAAAACAATAAGAACATTAGAAGATGTTTAAAAGAATATTAAAATGTTGCTATGCAGGAAAAAACATTGCTGCAATTAATATCAACAATATTTGGATACTTGGAAGTATCTCAGATATAAATATTAGTCAAACACAAGTTTATTTTTTTTCAAAAAAGTGTGTGTGTGTGTATATACACACACACACAAGACTTTTAAAAATTTTGGGTTTTACTGATTAGATAAATTTGTTATAGAAATGGCTAGTTTATACTATTATGTAACTAATTTTTAAAAAGTCTTGTATATATCACACTATTCTCCAAGTCAGTGTTAAAAACACATGCCCACAAAATCTTGGATACCATTTCTTATCTGAGGATTACATTTTAGTTCTTCCACCAGTAGAAAGTAGGCTAGAAGGTTGTCAATTTCCTCTCCATTTCTATTTTATTTTTTTCTCTGGAGAGAATTTTTTTAAATTCTACAAGGATGCAACTGGAATGAGTGTCACTTCAGAGAAGCCATGCTCCTTACCCTTTTATAATGTTTTTCATTGTCTCATAATGACACTGTGTGTGCGTGTGTGCTAGAAAAGCCCTTATCCTGTGTAGAATATCAAAGGGAATTGTCAACATTCCATAAAATAGTTTACCAGACACCAGGAATGTCATAGAGGGTGGTTAAACTGGATCTGTGTGGTGCTAAATCTAATCTCTGGGTTAATTCCCTTGGTCAGTTAATTCAATTTTGGAATCTACACAACTCACATATCCCATGGCTCAGTTAAATGATGCAAACAACTATTATGTTAAAAGTTCATTTGAAGAGATCTCTACAGCATTGGGAACACATTCTAGAATTAAACAGGTTATACCAAACATAAATGCTTAAGTATCTACCTGAGATCAAGGTAGTTTAAAGTACATTTGACTACATTAGCCCTAAAATATTTTCACTGAATCAGCATAAAATGAAAAATAGATTTCTTTTAAAACAAAATAAAATCCTATATCAAAGCAAGGATTTTCTTCTCTGTGAAATGTAATATCTAAATATGGAAAGGGTGGTTAGTTTAACTTCTGTCAAAAACTCAACTTTAGAGCAATTTTGCCTCAATAACAGAATTCATCTTAGGTTATATCATTATAGCTATTCTCAAAGTGCCTATTAAAACTTTCTCATAATCCATCACTAGTCATAGCATACTCCCAGCGTGCGTAAAATAAGTATAATTACTTTAGCTAGTAAGGATATATTTTCTCTGACAATCTCTACAACCACAGCAACAACAACAAAAGCTTCCAACCACACATTTCACTGATGAGGACCACACATGCATAAGTACAATAATTTCTTTTAAAATATATCAAGAATGAGTTTACATTGTAACTGTTCCATTAGCAATGGCTTCAGGACCTTAAAAATGTTATAATGGAACCTACAGATTTGAGGTTAAGGTTGTTATCAAAAAGTGTAGAGTGTATTGGCCTCCCCAAACAATAGGATGGAAACAAGTTTTATTTCTGCTGAAGATGTAAGAAAGTTGATGCTTACTGACCCACACAATATGGTCATGTGATCATTTAAAATCTTTTTGGCATTGTATATTAAAGTATATTAATAGATTTATGGAAAAATCTTTAAATATTGAATGTTAATATAATATTTAGTTAAATATCAAATCTTTGGAATTTGATGGTTTATCAGGAATTGTGGTTGTATGAAGCATGAGTATAGCAAAAAGAATTACCATTAACGAATTGGAAAAATGATATTATTCCAGATACCAAGGAAAAGTTATTAGAAATGTGTGATCTGTTGTTTTAAAAAAGGCAATATTTTCTATCAATAAAATGGGCGTTGTACTTACCTGATACGCCCCTTGTTACTACATCAGACATTTTGTGATATTTTACTATGTCTTATATTATTTACTATATAGCATAGTGGTAAATTCTTTGATAAACTAGTGACTGTCAATAACTATAAAATATAAAATACATTTTTCCTTCTTAATTTGTATCTTTAGTTTGTATTTTAATTGTTTTCAGTTTCTTTTTTTTTAATAAGATTAAAGATTGTTTCTTTGGAAAAAAAAGAAAGTACAATGTAATTATGATATATAATTCAGAGCCAATGTCTGGCTAAAAGTCTCCAGACTCAGACTGTTGTCTTATCAAGTCTTTTATACACAATAATATCAATATATCAGATTTTTTGTGAGGTTGGAATTAATACAACTTTTGCTATATCTACACTCAGCTACATTATTCTCCCATTCCAAGCTGTGTCCCAAACCCAGATGGCTGGGTCATTTGTGACTGGTCAGTACCAATATGCAATCTGGTTTGCTAACAATAGATAACTAGCACTAGCCTAAAGCTGAACGTATTTCCTCCCACATTACAAAGGGTGAAATAAAGCAGAATAAAACTCTTCATTACTTGAAGTGTACCAGTTGCCAAAATAGGACTGGTGGAAAATTTGTCCCTTCCAACTCTACAATTCGGCCTGAGGCAACAGAATGACCAGGTCTGATAATGAGAAGCAGAGGGGGATTTATTATTTTTTTTGCTGAGATTCTTCATAATTGCACAATTTTTTCAAACATAGAAGAGTTTAGGTAGCTCTGGCTAGACAGAAAATCTATACTTTACATGAAATAAAATGGTACTCAATAGAAAGGTCATCCACTTCTGCAGCTTTTTTAAAAGGAACCAAGGATGGGGATGGGGATGAGGATGGGAATCGGGACAACCAGTTAGTGATTGTTTTAGATCACAGAGAGGGAATGATGGCCTTTTTATGACTTGTGGACTTCAACTCCCAGAATTCCTGAGCTGTCCACAAGTCATAAAGGGGCCAGCCATCGTTCCCCACTTCTGTTTTAGATCCAATGCATTCAGCCATACTGACCAGAGTTAAAACTGTTTAGTCCAGCTGTCTTGCTCCAAGATATAGTTTGGCCCCATCAATATTGGGAACAACAATAACACAGCTTCTCCAAGTGTGCCTTTCTTCTGCCTAACAAACATGATGTCGAAATAGGTCTCTTCTCCAACCAACTCAATATCACTCAGGTGATAATCTCTTACTGGCCAGCCAATTGGTGAAACTTTTGTGAATGCAATACTAGTCTCTTGGTTATTTTGCAATATTACCAAATTAAACCAATGTGAAGAGACAGATTTCTTACTGAGCTATACTCGGGTGAAATCCAGCAGGGTCTAGAGAACCGGTAGCGGAAATTTTGAGTAGTTCAGAGAACCGGCAATACCACCTCTGGCTGGCCCCAGAGTGGGGTGGGAATGGAGATTTTACAATATCCTTTCCCCAGGAGTGGGGAGGGAATGGGGATTTTGTAGTAGCCTTCCCCTGGAATGGGGAGGGAATGGAGATTTTGCAGTATCCTTCTCCTGCCATGCCCACTAAGCCATACCGCGCTCACAGAACCGGTAGTAAAAAAATTTGAATTTCCCCACTAGCTATACTGGAATGCACATTAGGAGATTTTTATCAGGCATTCTCCACTATAAAATGAGAAGTGGGGAGATAATCAGGATTGAATGATGATTCTATCTAATTCTCTCTCTACCTGGCAATTTTTTTTTTCAAGGAGAAAGATTAAAATGTTGTGGATTTAGCCTTAGTAATTCAAGTTAAATGTCTATGCCTACTCCTTAGAATTGCTTCTAATTATAGTTATGCATAGGAGCATACTTCTTAATAAGCAAGATCTTGGATCATCATTGACTACAAAAAAAGCATACACAAAACCATAAGAAAGAGAACTCTTGACCTTTGGGCACAAACTTATCAGAAACAAGTAAGCAGTAGCAGCCTTCACCCATATGATCTATACTGAAGAATAGTCCAACTGCAAAATAACACTGCAAAGGAAAAATCCACTAGTTCAATTCCAGATAGGAGCAAAGAATTTATTTGGGTGAATTCAAAGGAAAGTTACTGATGGGACAATAGAAATAAGGTCTTAAATAAGATCGCAGAAATTTACTACTATGTGATCAATTGGGGTTAGTTGACTAATAACTCCGTTGTCTCTGTTTATGTACACTAGCTTGCCAATCAGAGTGGGTGGGGGTGTTGTTTTCACCTTGATTAAGCTATTGTTTACTGCTTGTCTGGTGTTAATTCTGGTGTTAATCCATGCTTATCTGATTGCTGGTAAGGGGGTATATTGGTCTTTTTCTTTCTTTTTGTAGCTTTTTTATAGTCTCTTTGGAATAGTGTGTTTATCTCTATGTGTTTGTTGATGGCTAATTTGTCTGAATGCCAAGGTTCCAAGAATTCCCTAGCATTTTTGGATTTAGATGCTCAAGTCTAAGAATTTAGATGCTCAAGTCTAAGGTGCTCAAAGTTTCCCAGTTGAAACGATATGTCCATGTGTTGCAAGATTAATGAGTTTACACTAAATTCTCTGACTGTTAGTTGGTGTTCATCAGAGGTGGGTTTCAGCAGGTTCTGACCAGTTCTGGAGAATTGGTAGCAAAAATTTTGAGTAGTTTGGAGAACTGGTAGTAAAAATCCTGACTGGCCCCACTACCATCTTTTCTCTGCCTCCCAAGTCCCAGCTGATCGGGAGGTAATGGGGATTTTGCAGTAACCTTCCCCTGGATTGGGGAGGGAATGGAGATTTTATAGTATCCTTCCCCTGCCACACCCACCAAGCCACGCCCACAGAACCAGTAGTAAAAACTTTTGAAACCCACCACTGGTGTTCATGGATGAGCTCTTTTGCCTATCTGTCTACAGACTGTTAAGAGTTCTCACACTATATAGTTTCTTTTTGTTTTTTTAGGCTACTGGAACTTCTGATCTACTTAAGATGTTTTTTTGAAGGCTCTGGTTGGTTTTTCTTTTTCTTAATTCACAACTGAGTCAACGTTTTTGTTGCTGAGATAGTTATTAAGTGACTTTTGCCCCATTTTACAACCTTTCTTGCCGCAGTTTTTAAGTGAGTCACTGCAGCTGTTACGTTAGTAACACGGTTATTAAGTGAATCTGGCTCCCCATTAACTTTGCTTGTCAGAAGATTTACGAAAGGTGATCGATCATTTGACCTCAGAACACTGCAACATCATAACTATGAGTCAATTGTCAAGCATCTCAATTTTGATCACGTGACCGTGGGGATTTTCCAGTGATCATAAGTGTGAAAAATGGTCATAAATCACTTTTTCAGTGCCCCCATTGTAACTTTTGTAACTCAAGGACAACCTGATGCAGGGATGTTAATAATAAAGCTACCTCAGCTGTTTATCTGTCCCTGGTGATGCCATGAAATTGTAGTACACCAGTGATGGCTAACCTTTTTTTCTTTGAGTGCCAAAAGTGTGTGCGTGCGATAGCCCGCGTACACGTGCCCACACTCCATAATGCAATGACCCTCTGCACAACCCCCTGCACATGTGCGTGGGACCCCCCCATGCGGTCCTGCCCTCCTGCACATGTGCACGTGACCCCCCCCCCGCACCCCATTTTGGGCCTAGCAGGCCTCCTTGAAGCCTCTGGAGGCCGGAAACGGCCCGTTTCGGACTTCCGGTACTTCCAGTAGGCCCATTTTTCACCTTCCCCAGGCTCTGGAGGCTTTCCTTGAGCCTCCAGGAGGGCGAAAACAGCCTCCCCCTCCCCGGCCTTCTGGAGGCCCTCCGAAGGCTGGAAACGGCCCATTTCCAGACTTCCGGGAGACCCGTTTATCACCTTCCCAGAGCCTCCGCACAAACCCTGTACTTACCTAGCATCCAAAATGGGTCACTTGGAGACTCCTGGGAGGGGATGGATGGCATGGGGCGGGGCGGGGCCAGCTGAAAACCAGCTGGCTGGTATGCACGCATGCGCGGTGGAGCTGACCTAGGGCAATGGTTTGTGTGCCCGCAGAGATGGCTCCACGTGCCACCTGTGGCATGTGTGCCTTAGGTTCGCCATCAGAGTAATAGGCTGTTATTTTTTTTTCTGAGATGTTTCTGATGTATGACAGTGTTATCCTTTTCATAACTTGTATTGGTTGTGCTGTTCTGGGTTGAGTGGTCAGGCACCTTTTGGTAAACTTGCATAGGTATTGATTTTATTGGAAGATGTTGTATAAGGTGATCTGTTTCTTTTTTCTGGTGTTCTGGGTTGCTATATTTATGCTCTTCTAAATAATGTTCTTACATAGCTCCTCTTGTGGGAAATTGGATTATTACTTTGGTAATGGAGTTCCTGGTTAGCGTGAGTCATTTTTTGATAGACTTGTGTTTCTAATTTGCCGCTAACTTGCATGATGCAATCAGTGCTGTAGAAGTCCTGTCTACAAAGAATCTTGTTTAGCTTTGCACTTAAACTGCAGGACCAGAAGAGTGCACAGGAGATTATGGGACTGGGCAGGGAGCCATCTGTTCCCTGCCCTGGGTGCCTCAGGATGAGGTTGCCATGCTTATGCTGTGCAGTCACTTGGCCTTCTACAGGAGATCATGAGTTCATTTTTCCATTTGTAATCCTCCCATGTTTTCCCAGTGCTTATCTTTTTCTATTCCATTAAAAAAAACAAAAAACCCTGGAATAGCTGCACAATGTATTTTGATTTTGTGCTGCTTAGGATTGCTCCATCTGGAGGCATTCCATCGCCAACATAATCAAAATCTCTGCATGTCCTCATGTACTAATTTGGGGCAGGTGAAGATAGCCAGATGGATCTTTGACTCTTTCCAAGATGCTGGACTGATGCACCCAAATCCATCTCAATAGTTTTACATCCAAAGTAATTCAATGCTCAGAACAGGGCTGTTGACTTTAAGGAGTCTCCCCCTGATTAAACAGGGCAAGAACTGCAGCCTAAGCATTTAACACAAGAACTCATTCTTTTGTTCAGAGTGAAAAAAATGTGAATAGAACAATGGGAGCCTGAATATGGCTTTAGTACAGCTCATGTTAGCATTGTTATCTGCAATCTGACACAGACCTGCTCTTTAGCTTTAGTATGATACAGGTAGACCTCAACCTACGATCACAATTAAGGCCAAAATTTCCATTGCTAAGCAAGATAGTTGTTAAGTCAGTTTTGCCCCATTTTACGATCTTTCTTGCCACAGTTGTTAAGTGACTCTCTAACTTAACAGTTGTTAAGTTAGTAACACGGTTGTTAAATGAACCTGATTTCCCCATAAGGTGGCAAAAGGTGATCACATGACTTCTGGGACTCTGCAACCATCATAAATATGAGTCAATTGCCAAGTATCTGAATTTTGATCACATGACCATGGAGATGCTGCAATTGTCATGTGAAAAATGGTCATAAGTCAATTTTTTCCGTGCCGCTGTAACTTCAATCATTATATGAACTGTTGTAAATCAAAGATTACCTGTACTCCTCATTAAATTTAGCAGCCCACAACTGATATAGTAATCCTCACTAGATCCTTGAGCTACAGCTTAAAAAAACGGTCAGGAAATATTGTATTTAGGTGTGTGCAAACTACAGTATTTTGCTTCAAAACACTTCAAGCACAACATTTAGTGTGGAGTGTTAAAGGGATAGTTTTGAGGATCCTGAAAATAGTGTGTGCTCAAATCAGCCTCTCAGAGGAAATATGACAGTAACATCACCAAGAGGTTGGGTGAAATGGCTTCTTCCAATTTTGAGGCTTGCTTTTTTTCATATGTAAAACCAGCACAATAAGCCTAAAGTACCTATTTTGCTTCTTATTTTGCATATTAAAAAAGCAGCAACTAAATTTTTGAAGATGCTACCTGTGAGGGCTCCAGGAGTAATAAAAATGTTTGCTAGATGGCAGGTGCCACTCTCCTTACAGCAGACACATCACTCTGCTTGCAGTATAACACACCTGATAGATGGAGATATGTTCCTCTCCCACGTCGCCCCAAAATACATGAGATTCTCAGTTCCTTCAGCTTATCTAGCCATCTTGAAAATGGAAAATAATCTCCTGCATTTGATTATGGCCTATTTCCATCTTGAACATTTTTTGTCCCCAGCTGTAAGTAAGAAGCTAGAAGGAACCAGAGGGTTGCTAAATGAAATTCTCTGGCCATCTTGATTAGGGTCATGTTGTACTTATACTAGGTTGGATCTAGATAACATTTCCTACAGTACATTAATATATCTCCTGACAGTTCAGCTTGCCCTGGGAAAGACTGCACACAGCTAGTTCAAATGAAAGGTTAATATGAAGCCAAAGACAATTGGAGGAAAAAAGTCAAACTACAAAGTATGTTTGCTATCAGAAAGATTAGACCTATTCCTGCTCTTGGTGAAAAAAGGAAGCAAAGTAATGTTGAAAGGGAATCTTTCCATGCTAGAGAACTTTCTGGATTTCTCCTTCAGTTCTTTAAGGAGTAAATATCTATATTCTTCTATGTGAAACAGCAATTAACTCACAGTACTATGGACAGGCTTTCTCAAGAAAAATAATCCCAAAGTGAAATCCTTAAAGGAGAATTCTGCAGGGATCAGTCAGAGATGGGAACAGTAGTTCCCTAAAATAAGCATATTTTAGAACTGTCCATTGGTTCAGAGATAACCTAATGCCTTTACATTGCAGCAAATGTATACTAGTGAACATCAGTTTTACCAGCCTTTTTGAGTCTGGTCTCTTCTATCCAGCTGTGCTGCAATGATGAATCCCAGAATTCCTCTTTAAAATTCTAGGAGACGTAATCCTCAAAGATTTAACCAGCTGTTGGTAAAGACTAAATTGAACGTCTTCAGCCAACCATTTGCAGAAATTTATATATAGATACTTATTGGAAGCTTAGAATCTTATTCTTGGGAGGGAAAAATCTCCTATATATAATTAGTGTTACTTCTGAGTAAATATCAGGATGATTATATAATTATAAATTCATCAGCTTGCCCAGATGGTAACCTATTTTTGTCAAACACCATTTCATCTATCTTTTTTTTTTTTTTTTTGGAGACTGAGATGCTGGGACTGACAGGTTATCCTAAAATTTAGAAATTAAATGTTTGCATGTTGTTTGTTAATGAACCATTAGGATTTCATCTGAGTGTAAGGATTGTGAGAAGCAGGAATAGGTCTTAATTTGGAGGGCAACTGCATCTACACCTTGAGTAGTGAGGCTCTACCAAACCAACCTACCTTCCAAGCCTATCTTTAGTTCCCCTAAATTCAATTGTACCCTTTACTTTGATATGCAAAAGTAACAGAATTCAAATTGGAAAGGAGAGATGGAGATTGTAAAACAGCTGTTTTACAGTAATGTTCTGGCATTTCTTAAGAATTGCTAAGTACCATGATTCAAGGAGTGGTGGTTGTCTAAGGCTTAGTGGTTTGGGATGGGGGAGGAGTGAAGGGTCGAAACAATTATTAAAAACATTAAGACAAATCAATGACAATATGTACTTTTTCCATAAGGGAAGAGGCAAGTTGGAATAACGACGACAGACCACGCATCAGTCTAACACAAAGCAAAATCTAAAAAGAAATCAAAATGCAAGCAACCCCACGAAAATGACAGGAAAGTTCTCTGCTTATTTGAAGGGTTTGGCGAGAAAGAGCCAGCGCACCGGAGAGGAGGATGAATGCCCAGTGCGGGTGAGAGCATGCTCAGTGCAGCTGCGGTCCTACTGTACAGGCGGTGAAATGGATTAGTGGAAGGGGGTGGGGAAGCCAGAATCAAGGGGGAGATCTGGCTCCACAATCTCGATTAAGGAAGAGATTTCTCCCTCGGTCGTCCCTGGCTGGCTAGCTCGCTCTCACCTCCCCGGCTTCCAGGCTGCAATTCCGAACGATGCATTTACCAGGGACGAGCCAAGGCTTAGGGTTCCTCCGGGAGGATCCAGTTCGTGCAAAGCGCCAACCTCTCATCTCCCCGCTCCCCAGTAAGCAAGACCTTTCCAGCTAAAGCCCAGAATCAATCCGAATTAAATGGGAGCCGGGGAAGAGCAAGCCGGCAAAACAGCAGAGCCTTCCCCGGCTTGCTTTGCTTGGGGATCGCCGCGGGGCCCTGCGGGGGAAGCTGCGTAAAAGCGCAGCCTATTCCCAAACCCCGGCGCGCCAGGTAGGGCACCCCCGCAGCGTATGGCTCGCTTCCTCTCTGCCCGCGCCCCCACCGCCGCGGGAGAAGTTGCGGGGAGCGCCCGCCTCCTCACCTTGGGCCGGCCTGTCAGGCGGGCGTCCCGTCGTCCACTCGTGAAAGCGGCTCTCCCGTCCGGCTGCAACCCTCGCAGTCAACGGCAGGCTGAGGAGGAGGCGCCGCCGCCGCCGCCCCCTCCGACGGAGCGCAAAACCGCGCCGTTTCCGCCTTCAAGGCAGCGCGGGGAGAGATGCGCCTGACCGCCCATGACGACGCAGCGTCGCCGCCGCTGCCGCTGAGGGAAAACCTCCCAGAGTCCCAGGTTTAACGTTTAGCCGGCCGCTCTGAGTTCTCCCGGCCACGCTTCGGGCAGGAGAGCGTTGCCGCGCCGTCTCCGGCTCGCCCGGATCTCCCGGAGAAATCCGCGGGCTGGTGACTCCGCCCGCGCGCCCGCGCCTGTGTGGATGATGCAGGAGCGGGTGCCGGAGCGCGCGCTTCCCCCCCCAAAAAAAGAGGCGAGCCGCGCGTGTGCGCATGGAGACTCGATGGAGGCTGGCCGGGTCTAAGGGAGCTCGGCTCCTACCAAGCCGCCCCTCAGAGAAGGAAGTCCTTTGTTTGGAAATGGCTGCTTCTTCCCGGCCGCCACCGGCGCCCGAGCATCGCCCTGCGCGCCCTTGAGCCTTTGTTTTATCCGCGGGCTGGATGGATCGCGCCTGGCGCCGCCCTGGCAAGCCCCGCTTGCGCGACGCGATCCTAACCTGTAGATTCACTGGCTTTCTTCCGAGAAACTACGTTATAGAATTGTAGCTGAGGTTGCCTAAGTTGGGTAATGAAACGTCTGCAAGAAAACAACCAGAACCCCTCATTTCAACCCTTTTCAAATGTTCTCCTTTATCAGAATTGTAGTTTTTGTTAATAGTCTAGTTGTCCTTAATTGACACGAAAAAGCCATCTCCTGATGTGCCGCACCTCGTTTGGAGCTCTGGTCCCCAGAGGGAAAGTGGCTTTTCACAGTAGGTGAAAAAAAGCAAATACTGAACACCTGTGGCTGCTCCTGTGCAAAAACACAAGCTATGTATCAGGATCGTAATTGTACTTGCTTTGCTCCCTAGCACTCCATTTCGCTTTCCACGAGAGTAAGTGGGTTGGGATTGGGGTAATAATACAGTTTATTAGCATAAAGCCCCATCTCTTCTCCTGCATCCCAGCGTTGCAAGATCTACAAGGCTTTTCTCAATCTGGTACCTAATCATACTTCAAAGATTGCCAATAGGGTTGAGCTTCTTTCAGCCCTATCCCTGAGGTGTAAACATCTTATCACAGGCTACCAGAGAGATTCCCCTGCCCATGTTGAAAGTAGTCGAAGACTTTGCAAGGACAATCTTAATCTGTTACATTTCATTTCATCAAAACCTGTTGTGTGCCATCACCCATCACTTGCTGTAAAATCAGGGACCAGAAGGGGATGGGAATCAGAAGTTCAGGCAGGTGATGTGTGTGTGTCCCCTCTCCATCTATGTTCAGCCGCATCCAGCACCTTTCCACCATTTCCTAAAAGGATGGACTCGGGGCCGGATTTTCCTATAGGCTAACTAGGCTTCAGCCTAGGGCCTCAAGATTAAGAGGGGGCCTCAAGATCAAGAGGGGCCTACATTCAAATTGTTAGTAAAATTAAAATTACACTTTCACTATAGGTGAAAGGGCCTCGTAAGTGGAATAGCCTAGGGCCTCTTTTCATCTAAATCCGGCCCTGGATGGACTATCTGGCTCCCGAGTGGACCATTCTTTCCTAAGAACTTTTTAATTCTAGAATGTAAAAAGGTCCATAATAAACAACTTTCAAGTTGTCTTATTCACACGTGAGAAACAAGATGAAGGCATGCATATGAGACACACCCTTTCCTAAATATTACCAAGACACATTTTAGCCATGATTGTGTACAAGTGGAAGACAGTGGCATTATCAGCTGAGTGAACCAAATGATCAAAAATTTAACAATTAAAATAGGAATTTACACTACTTAATAATGCACAAATTGCTGGAAGAGTAAAGAGTCACCTGAAGAAAGAAGAAAATGGGAAAAATGACTAAGTTTGAAATGCTTATTCAGAATGAAGATCATGTATTGGGATACATTCAAGATTGATACTGAAATATGGCAGAGAGACAGAACAAATTAAATATTGCATGTTCAAATGGATGTAAAACCTCAAATAAATGAGAATAATAATGGGAAGAGGTATGGGCGGAAAACCCATGAAATGTATTCCAAGGCACAATTTGGGGAAATTAGTATAAAATGTTTTATAGATGAGTATAAGTCCAAGATAGACAAACCATAAAATAAGTTATTAATAGCAAATGCTGTTAAGGAAAAAAAATGTTTTCTCACATGTAGTGATTATGCAAAAATCCTCAAAATTTAGCATAAATTTGGAAAAGTAAAATTTGCCAATAATATAAAAATGGGAGAACCAAAATTGGAGAATATTTAGCAATGGCAAAACTGATAAACACAGCACAAATATTTAAGCAATAGTTAGTGGTTGGGGGGAAAGGGGGAAGGGAAAAATATGTTACTGAATGTTCCTCTTCACAGCATGTTTGTTGTTTTATTCTTTGCTTTTTGCATGTTTATTCCTGTGTAATTTTTGGTTTGGTTTATGCATTTTTAAAAAAGTATTTTACTATGAAGGGGGTGATTCCTGCAACCTTGAAGGAGGTTGTAGTAGTCCTCCTCAACTCACCCCAGCCTGGATACAGCTGTATTGGACAATTATCATCCTCTCTCCAGCCCCCCTTGTTGAGATTGTGTTAGGAAGGCAATAACAAAAGTATTTCACAGGAAATGGATTGTAAGTTTTTTTAAAGTTCCGTGATGCCTGTTAGTGTCAATTCTTATAATGACCTGGAAAACAGTTTCAGTATAGCAGATTCCTGGTGTATATAAATCAGGAATCTGCTGTACTGAAACTAAATTCTAACTGCTCAGCCTTGGTACTTGGCAAAGTTAACTCTTCGCTTATTTACACACTTGGCATTGTGTGTGAACCAAAGGATAGCAACCCATGTTTTCCAGGTCATTATAAGAATTGACACTAACAGACATCACGGAACTTTAAAAAACTTACTTTGTTCCTGGTTGTATTTCATTGAACATTTTCCCCAGTATATTACAAGTTTCATGCTCCCCCTTGTAGCTGTTTGAACAAATAACATAATAAGCTACTAATACAGTTCTGAGATCTTGTTTATTCACAGTTTATTGAGTTTATTTTAGACATAAATACATATTTGTATGGCTCAGGTTATAACAAATGTACTGTTAGATATTAGAAAACATTTGATGAAACATAGTGGCTGTCTTCCTCCCAGATATCATTATTCTCACTTGGGATCAGACACAAAAATCTGCCTAGCAACACATATATGTTTCTGTGTGGACTATAAATGTGGCTTGTATCCAATATTAAAGCAGTATTTCGGTTACTGGTTAGCATTTTAATCTATACATATATACAATTTTATTGGAGTTTTTAAAAGTTCTGTAATATAGCACACCTATTTTATAATAGTCTTGTTAGGAAACTTCCTCAGCAGCCCTCAATAACCAGAATCCAAAGAGCTTAATGGAATTTTCTTTAGAAAGCTCTATCACAAACTGTTCCTCAAAGCCCTTTCAGTTTCCAAAGCAAGTTGTGTTAGAGTGTAGGAAATATTATCCGAGACAGGCGAGTTCAAAGAAATCCTGAAATTAGGGAACTAGTTTCACGTTTTATCAACCAATGGCAAATCAGTATATAACCAAAACCTAAACCACAAATGTTTGAGGGGTGTAAACTGGGATGGTTAAGTGCTAAAAGTTAAAAATATTTTTCCAACTTCTCTAGACATTATCAGTTCTTTTTCTTGACCTCTGCTGTAATGGACTCATTTGGAAGTTACTTGATAATGCGCTTGCAATTCTGAACACCTTTTCTGTAAAATTATGGCTTAAAGAACTTATAGTTGTATCTTCACTATGGGAAATTCTCATTTAGAAATGAATTCTGGGAGTACCCATGTCTGCATTAAGGAGCCAGAAATTCAAATGTTTCATTACTGCTGACCTAAAGATATATGACAAGGTTTCACATCCAGCCAAGGACACACACTTATGAAAACTACTTGTTTGACTATCAAGACAACCATCAGTTGGAACTATATATAAAAGAGCAACTCAAGAGACAGAAGTGATTACCCTTTATACCGGCTAAGCTGTAAATTTGTGACTCCACAAATATGAATCTACATTTGATTAAGTAGATAGTAAGGCTTTTAATGCTCTAATTGAGGGAAAAATCTATTGCTCATATTAAAAGTGCTTTCTAATTTATTGCAAACCAATAACTTGCTGGTGGATGCCAATCGGTTTTCTGCCTACTCTTTTTCTGGCTTCAGGAAAAGAGGAAGCCTCCCTCCTCTTTCATACACAAATTTATGTCTTCATTATTGTATAACTATATCAAATTTAGTCACAGGTAACAAACATTTAATATCCATTGATCTAATTGAATTTTCCCTAAGTGCAATGAATTCAGTGTGTATTACATTTGAAAGAAATGGCCATAACAGAGCTTTGTAATGTAAGTTTCCTACTAGAATTGCCCCTTCTTCAAGAAGAAGAAAAAAGATGAAACTAGGAGTCTCTGTGATCCAACATACTGCTCTGCTATTATTCCCAATAAGCAGACTGTTAATTGGTACAGCTCTTTTAAAGTTTAAATTCTCATGTTCCATCCCATCCTATCAGAATATACCACTACTGGTATTACATATACAAATCTCAAGAAATCCAAATGGATAAGCTTGCAAGCTTGAGGTAAATGATCTCTTCCTGCAGCTAAGCTCTGGCAAGTCTCAGGTACACCCAGGTTTTAAGACATCACATAGTTCTACAAACTCTAAAATGATGCTTAATTACCATTATCCAGAGTCATTACGATGGCTTCTGAAGTTGTAGCTGTTGGTCACGAGCAATTAAGTTTTTAACAGCAGTGATAGCACCTGTGTTTTCATCCCAGATAATTATGTAATTTTCCATTTTATTAAAAGGAAAATATGTTGACTTGCTTTGATTATACAAATTCCCTTCTTTATTGCTTGGAAACAGCCATGGCATCTTCTTTCTATAGATGTAGGGCTGGGTTTTGTTTTTTTGTTTTTTGTTTGCTAATATTCACATGACAAATGCACATTTGTTGACTTCAGATCAAAGTCTGTGTTAATAATATGCACTGGTAACAATCAGTGATGTATCTGGAGAGCAATGAAGTCATAATGAGTCAATATCTTGCCAGGGCTGTGGGCCTTACATGCCCTGAGAAGGAGGAGGAGAGCTATGCCAGAGGTTCAACCATCCTGGGCAAACAAACCAATTAATTTACAGCATGGGTGCAGTTATAACTGAAAATGTTGGATGCAAAATCAACAAACAAGAGGAAAAAAAGCCAAACAGTACACCACCAAAATGGAAGATCAGGCTGGAAAATAAGAACAGCATGTTAAGATCAGATACAAGCAAGCTGGAACAGATGAAAGACAAGAAGACCAAACAACACCTGATCAAGAAAATATCAGCAAACAACAGTTAGAGCCAAGAAAATCAGCAGATACAAAGCTCAAATTGCACACTACAGGCAGAATATTCAATTTCAGTCAAATCAGAAATGTTTACACCAGTCCATCAATGGAGAGACTGCAGTGAACCAGCCACATCTGGCAAAGAAAAAACAGTGCAGTACTGGGTGGAGCCATGGGACAACCCCAAAAAATACAAGAAGGCATCTTGGCTAAAGGAGGTGGATAAGAATAAAACAGAACTTGCGATAACAGCAGAAATGGTGGAGAAAAGGGCAAGGAAGATCAAGAATTGGTCAGCACCAAGTGAAGATGAACTGCATGGCTTCTGGTTGACTGGTCTACACCCACTTGCTGTCAAGCAGTTTAACAACATACTTAGCAAGGAGGTGAAATTGAAGAGTCGTTAACATCTAGCAAAACCTACCTGATAATAAAAGTTTCAGAAAAAGGGACAACACCAGGCAACTATAGGCCAATACCTTCTTATCAACAACTTGCTAACAGGTGTAGTAGCTGATGTACTCCAATAGCATCTGATTGAACACAAGCTCTTTCCACCTGAGCAGAAAGAAAACCACCGAAACAGAAGAGGAATAAAAATTAACTACGAATTGATAAAATGATTCTGGAAAACTACAAGAGAAGGAAGACCAAGCTGAACCTGGCTTGGATTTATTACAATAAGGCATTTGACTCTCTGCTACATTATTGGATAATCAAGTGTCTATAAATAAAACGAATCAGTAGAAACATCAGAAGGTTTGAGCAAAGCACAATGGAAGACACAGTTGCCGGTCAATGGTGAAATACAAGGAGAGGTTAATACCAAGAGAGGAATTTTTCAAGGAGCTTATCACCACTAGAGTTTGTCGCTACATTGACTCCTCTGTCATCCATACTGAATAAGTCAGGGCATGGCTACCAACTTCAAAGAAATCTGCCAAGCTATCCCATCTCTTTTGCACAGACAATAAGAAGCTGTATGGAAAAGCACCATCTGAAATAGAATTGCTGCTCCACACTGTCCCAAGACATTACTGTGGAGTTTGGACTAGACAAATGTGCCACCTTTACCATCAACAAAGCAAAACCTGTGAAATATGAATGGAAATACCATCAAGAGTCCAGATGAATAAATTCATTACAAATTCCTGGCATCCTTCAACATGACATCAAGAACAGTGAAGTCACAAAGTTAGAAGTGAATTTATCATGGCCATGAAGATCTTAAAGTATAGACCCAGTAATGGAAATACCAACAAGGCAATTAATAATTGCACAAGTCATTAGATACAGAGCTGGAACACTGGACTAGACTCAAGCAGAACTAAAAGCCCTGCATGGGATGATCAGAAAAAAATAATAACAATGAATTATTCCCTTCATTAATGAAGTGACAGACTTTATTTGCCAAGGAAAACAGGTGGATGTGGAATGTTGCAAGTACACCAGAAAGTTGAAGAAAAAAGGGTACTGGAAGAATATCTGAAGAACAATGAAGAAGATGCAATGAAGGTAGTACACCATAAAGGTTTACTGAATATCGGAAAGAGCAAACTGGCCTACAAGAAAGACCAAATGAAACATAGAATAAGAGACATGGCAAGGCAAAGTATTACACAGCCAGAACATTTAAAAATATAGCAGAGCAGAACAAGACCTGCCAATAGCTAAGAGCAGGAAAGTTGAAGAAAGAGACTGGAGAGCTAATTCTGCCTGCACAAGGCCAAGCTTGAAGAGCAAATGCACATAAAGCCAGAACTGAATAGACAGCAACAGACAGCAAATGTGGTCCCAGCAAAGGAGTTTCATTACAGTGGACCAGACCACCAAGTTAGCTGATTGCACAGACTGATAACAAAATAGATGTTCCAATGGTATATTGGAAGATCTGCAAAACATACCATTTGCAAGTGAATACTGATGGGACCTCAACATAGACAACGTAATAGAAAAATGAAGGAACTAAAGTACTCTGAGACTTTAGAATTCAAACTGCTACATAACACCCCAGAGGTATCAAATGTTGATAAGAAAAACAAAAGAAGTCTGGATAAGAGACGTTGCAGTACTAGAGACAGCAGAACAGAAGCAGAAAAACTGTAGAAAATCACAATATACAAAGACCTACAAATAGAAACAGAACAAACACATCAAAAGAAAGCAAAGGTAATACCAACAATAACAGGTGTCCTGGGTGCAATCCTAAAACATCTGGAGCACCACTTGAACATCATTGGCATTGACAAAATTACTACCATCAATTGCAAAAGGCAACTTTACTTGGAACAGCTCCCCCCCCGCCCCGATGGATGATATCTTAAACACTATCAGCCTATCCTGGGTCCTTGGGAAGGACTCAATAAGTGGATCAAAATGCCAAATCCAGACTATCCATCTGGCTGACCAACTATAATAATCTTATGAAAACAATATACTTTAATGTTAGGGTCTCTTTATTTTATGTTTATACTTGATTTCCTCACTATTATCTAATGCTAATCGAAATATATAAGCAGCCATATAGATAAATGAGGCACATTCCACCGCCAGCGACAGAATGTGCTATAATTAAATGGAGCACCAAAACACAAGCAACTGCCTGAATCTACTAAATTTCACAGTGGTTTCATTTTCCCTTCTACTTACTGGGAGTAACCAAAAGATTAAAAAAAAAATACATCGCTTAGTAAGTCAAACATATTTCATTCTGAATGTTTGACATTTCTTTTTATAATATTCATTTTTAAGTATTAATAATTAAAAGTTAGCCCTACCTCTTTTTCCTCCCACGTATAAATCTGTAGTATATAACCAAAAAACTTTTTTATTGTGTCTGACACTTACTTGAGAAAGTATATTACAGGTTTATTTATAGTCTCTGGAATTAAGCTAGTAGACTATCTTGGAATAATGATTGCTTTAAAAATGTTTGTGGAAAATGAAACACACGTGCATGATATTGCCTTGCAAGAAATAATTATTTAAGCAAGGCTCATCAGAGAAATACTATTCGATCCTTTCCCTTCATTGAATATTTTTTAGGCTACAATATTTGAATATAAATAGTAGCAAAATGAGAAAAAATGCTTGAAATGGATTTTTTTTTTCAACTAAAGAACTTTTGAAGACTCAAATATATGTTTAGATATAGCTCTGAAATGGGCTTCTTCGAATATATCTAAGATACTTGTTCTAACAAAGTAACCCATGTAAATTCAGGACAAAGAAACCTTATAAAGAGGCCTTTGCAAACATTGATATTTAATTTGCTTTGAGATAAAAATGTAAATTCATCATGATGGTGTTAACACCAAAGCAAACTTTGCCATTGAACAAATCGCATTGTATCCTGTCAGATTTTTAACAGTGGAATCTGCCAAATCATTATTGAAGACACCAGTTCATCTGGCCGCTGCTGCTTGCATTTCTTATTCACCCTTCTGTGTCCTTGTCCTCCAGAGATGACTAAGATGGATATTGCTTTCCCCTCTCTGGATCTATGTCTTTTACTCTGGTCAGGGGAGACTTCTTTCAAAAGCTCATAGACAGCACTCTCTTCCGGCCGAGGTTCAGCTGTGTTGGATCCGTGAGACAACGTGAGTGACCCAGACGATGAAGACAAGTCACTTTTCTGAGCAATGGATCCGACTGAGCCCCCCAACCAAATGGCATTGTCACTGGGGTTGCTCAGAGAAGAATTGGGCCTCTCAGGTCCAGCACCCTTTTGGTCATCTTCTTTCAGGCCTGAATGAGGACAATTCAACCTGGATTTTGACTTGCTTTTGTTCTGCTTGCTTGTCACAGAGGCCGTTACCAGGAACTTGATAGGGCCATTATGGGCATGATAAGATACCATGCCTCTTCCTGCAGTCAAAAGAAAAAGCACACCCTCAGACACACTCATTTTCATGCAGTTTAATTCTTTTCATCAGCTGCTGGACCTATACAGCATTGAATAAAAAGTGTACAACTTGTAATATGCCTTTCATATGTTGTTAGGTCAACATTCACTTCAAATTTCAGTTGTGAAACAGAATTTTCCATGGGGAAAATTTTTCAACAAACAGAAAAACTAGCTCATGATAATAGCCAAAGCTCTAGCCTCCTATGCTCGTTTCTATCTGCAAAGCAAGCAGTATTAGAGCTGCAGAACAACCTTGCAATTGGAAAATAGTACCTAATTCTACAAGGATTTATTTCTATGACCTCACCCTATTACATAAATAGACCAATGATTCTCAAATCACATTCTGACCCTTTCTTCCTGATTCTTGCTCAGGATTTAAGCATACAAATAGATTTAATGTAGGTGTTCACTTGGCAATGAACATTATGTCTTAGTTCAGTATTATGAGTTAACAAGAAGATGCCCATCACTTACCCCACACTTATCCTCCCCACCAGGAAGAAGAAAATCAGAACTGTCATTGAACAAGTTCCTGTTTTTTTTCTTAATGCCTAAATAAGGAACTGTGTTATAAAATAAACACTAATCAGTTATGAGTGAGTTAAGTTCAAGTCTTCAATTGTTTTTGTGGTTTGTTTAGCAATATATTAGCTGAATTTTATTCCTCCTACAATAGAAGAACAGAGCCAGGAGTGCTTATATCTAGTGTTTTGCAAGAGTGTCTTCAGACAGATGTATGTCAGAACCTACATCATTATGTTCTGACTCCTCAGTTTAATATATTGTCTTACCCTTATTTTAAGGGTATTATAAATCATGTTGAACTGAATTATTAATTTTGTAACTCTTTCTAATTGGGTATGTTTAAATTGGTTAAGATTTTTAAAATGGTAATCAGATTCTTTTTTCCACTTTAAAAACAATGAAAATGCAGAATGTAAACCGTATAAACATGGTTTATAATATTTAATTATAAAATCCACAGTTTAGTGTTGTGTATCATATAATCCAATAGAACACACATCCTCTGGAAGTTACCAATTGTTTTTCAAAGAGGCAAAGCTGAAATTGGTATTCAGTTCATGCTTTGTTCTCTTGTTTTTATAGCAGCAGGAGTCAGGGAATCAGCTGACTGCTTTTATCTTAATTTTGCTTTTTCCGCCATCCATTGCCGAAGACCTTGTTTTCAATAAAACTTAATCTACACTTACAACACGTAATCATGTTAAAGCTGGCAACAGTGAAAGAGTGTAGATTTCACTTTTTTTTACTGAACAGTACTGTTTACTGTTACTAAACATCAGATTAAAGCATGGAAAATTTGGGATCCCAACTGTGGGAACATTTCTGTCACGATTCACAGTATTAATTGCTATGATATCTGAAATGTGTTGTATAAGACATTGGCAAACAATCTCTTTACCCGTTGACATATAGATTGTTCGGTGAAAATAATTGATCACTATAATGACATATTTAGCAAATATAAACTGGCTTTGTGGAAGCAAGGTAAAACCATAGCAATGCATTCGGTTTATAAGGCATGTGTAAATTTTTTAAAAATCCTCATGAGAGTGAGTATTCCTGGTTACCAAATGCCCTCTATGTATCATGGCTAATAGATTGACAATGTGTTTTAATTTTATCCCAGGCATTTGAACATTCCTTGGCCTTTTTATAAAAGCATCTAGAACATTAAATTATTTTAATTTAATATATATACTATAGCGAATTTTCCCTTAGGTGGAATAGCTTTGGGAGGGCAGAAGAGTGCCAATGCAGAGCTGCCCATCAGTAGACCATGCTTGCTATACAGGTGTGGTAAACTTTCAGCGCTTTGGTCTTTTAACAAGTCCAATAAAAAAAAAGGAAGGTAAGAGTTAAAGTTTTCAAATGTCATTTAAATGAAACAAAAAAATAGGAAACAAGATGCTAAGATTACAGCACAGGCTCTTTTGCCAACATTTTTGATATGAGCCTTCCTTTAACTGACCGCAGCACTTTTGATGAATCAGTAAAAAATTTTGTACTGATAAGAGTTTTCTTTTTACTTACAACTGTGAATATTATACTCACCAGTCACTTTGGGGATTCCTTGCAAACGAGGAACTGGGAGGGCTACTATAATCCCAACATTTGTTCCAACCAGTAACAGGCCATGGCATACTAAGAGGCTAGTCACTGAAACACGTTGCTGTCCTGCAAGATGCAGAGAATATTACATTACTCCCAAATCAGGTTTTTTGCTGTACTTGTAAAGACATTATTTAATGAAATCATGTTCTCCTCCATATTTAAAAATGTTGCTGTGGTTTTATTAGTTTTCCAAGTATACAATAAATCACTATAATACAAGGGTCACTTAGCCAAACAATAACCTATCCTATTTTTTTAGTTTCTGAAAACAAACAGTGAATTCACTGCAAATTCTGGACACTGTTGACTGGACACATTTAGGTGGCTCGGGGCTGGAGAAAACTAATTCATAACATGAAATATGACATTTCATTCTGTGTTTAAAGGAAATTGCTGATGGCCCTAAGGACTGATGCTAAAATTAACTATCAAATATTCATAAAAAGGAAAGTCGCTTGTTTGGGAAGTGGAATTCCAGAGCGTTCCATTAGAACTGGGCAGAGGGGCAGCCTTGAATGAAACATGAATGATGCCAGAAGGTGATTAAATAGCATCAAATGATCACAGCTCCAGAAAATATATATTAAAAGATCCAGCCCTATTTTTATTCATGGAAAAAATGCCTTATGCAGAAAACAACTGAACAGACCTATTGTTTTATTAGCAAGAAAATATAAACTAAAGAGGCGTGTAAATATAAATTCAAGACCCTCAAAATTGTACTTTGAAATCAGTGTGTTCCAAACTTATGTATAAATCCAGTATTGTGCAACTTCCACAGCCAGCCAGTGACAATAATCAAACTTGGTCTACGAAAATGACTTCATAATGATCAGTTGCAACTGTTTTTCCCCTGTTTTTTCCAATATTTGACGTGGAAGGCATGAATATCTGCATACAAATAATCCTGAAATGGCTAACACACAGCTAGAATGATAATGCTGCCGACAGACTGAGGAAGTTACTGGTATATGATTCTATACAGCTTGAATCTGAGGAAGGGGAAGTCTTTTCCTTCCTATCTTTAGTTTGAAAAATAGCTAAGCATTTGGACCTAGATGCCCTACGCACGGTTACTCACGTGCTTGTCACCTCCCGTATTGACTACTGCAATGCCCTCTACATGGGGCTGCCCTTGAAGACCACTCAGAGACTTTAGCTGGTGCAGAATGCGGCCGCACGGGTTGTGATCGGAATATCCCGACACTCCCATGTTACACCTCTCCTACGCGACTTGCATTAGTTGCTGGTTGCCCTCCGAGTGAGATTCAAGGTGCTGGTGATTACCTATAAGGCCCTACATGGCTTAGGCCCGGGATATTTGTGGGACCATCTGCAGCCAGCAACAGCTTCCCATCGCCTGGTGCGTTCCCACAGAGAAGGCCTCCTCAGGGTGCCATTGGCCAGACAGTGTCGGCTCCCCTCCAGGGGAGGGCTTTCTCTGTGGGCACACCTACCCTTTGGAATCAACTGCCCCTGGAGCTCCGGTTGGCCCCCGACCTCCGCTCTTTCCGCTGCGACCTGAAAATGTGGCTGTTTCGTTTGGCTGGCCTGGACTGATGGGGTTTTAATTCTAATTTAATTTTAACTTGTTAGTCTTAATTGTACTTTTAACTGTTAAATTATGAGATTTGGATTTAATTTTTTAACTTTTTATTAGATGTTTCTTAACTGTTGTGAGCCGCCCTGAGTCCGGCTGGAGATAGGGCGGCATATAAAGCTCATAAATAAATAAATAAATAAATAAATAAATAAATAAATAAACAAACAAACAAACAAACAAATAAATAAATAAATAAATAAATAAATAAATAAGCAAGCAGCGCAAAATGAATACTCCTATTTGGTAGGTAGGTAGGAAGGCAGATAGGTAGACAGAAAGGCAGACATGGTTGCCAATCAACACAAGACTCTAGATAGCTAACAATAAATATGTTTTAAATTTAAATTAAATTTAAATTTTTCATTTAATTTAAATTAAAAATAAACATAATGATTAAAGGAAGTAAAAATAAACTCCTATGGAACAGATCTCACCCAAGTAACACAACAAAACAGATTCACCCAATTCCTTGGCCCAATGCTCAGGAACAGCCGGGTCTTAGGAAAGACCAATGAAGTCAGAGCCAACAAAATCTCATCAAAATCTCAGGAGAAAAATGTTGTTCCATATGATATGCGCTGTGAGAGAACAGCCAACCTTCTAAGTCCTATTAATGGCACTGACTTATAGAGGGGACCTGGAGAATTCCTACCCTGTCCAAACTTGTGAGATCAGCAGAAGTAATGGGAGACAGGCAGAGACCCACAACTAACTGTGCCCTATACCATGAAGGGCTTTATAGATGATAGCTGGCACCATGAATATATATCTGGAAGTCCAATCAGAGCCAATGCAATTCACAAAGTAGAGGTGACCTGAGGCAAACATCTATGTGGCTGCATCCTGGACTAGCTGCAATTTCTAATGGTCTTAAAGGCAGCCCTATGTAGAGCACATTGCTAAAGTCCAGATATGAGGTGACCAAAGATTGAGTAAAATGATTTCTTCAAGATTTCCTCAAAATCAACAGCCTTAATCTCCTTGCAGATAACTAGGCATGACCCTGCATCGTACTGTATGTCTCATACTCAAATCACATTCCAAATTTATACCCAAAATTTATTACAAGTCATATGGTGTGAATCATACTCTGGTCCTTAATCTCAATGTTTGGGTGATTTAATCATTTTTATTTAATTAAAAAAAAAAAAGAAGAATGTATAATGTATAAAAAGCAAGAAAACAGAAGTCGAAAGAAAGGAGCAGACAAAAAGATTTAGATGATTTAAATAAACGGAATGAGAATCTCTTTCTTCTTAAATCTGCATATCTCAGGGATTTTACACACCAGTTCAGTGTAAAATATAAACGTGTCTACTATTTGTTTTTGTTTTTCACATTTACAGTACAATGAGATTGGGGAGAGGGATTTTAATCTTCTCTTCCCATACAAGATATACACATGTATGTTCATTCTAAATGCATTGCCTAATACTAGGCAATTTTAGGCACAATACTATGCTTAAAATGCATAGTATTATAAAAAATACTATGTGTTTTACGGAACATTTTTACTTCAAAATGACTGAAAATACCTGTATATCCTGTTGTGTAATTCTAATCTGCAGTAGTTTTGTGACATTAACATCAAGGGGAGGGAGGAAAGCTCAAGGCCTGTCCTGACCCCAGGATCTACAAAAATGTTTAACTGGTAGCTCATGCTAGTTAAACAACATTGTTTCCACATGTGAAAACTGCTAACAATTATCCTGCATGCTCACATTTTGAAGGCAGAAGACCGATTTTGGAACAAACAATTCAAAGTGCAGTCAAACGGAAATCCCCTGCTTTTAAAGTGATGGAACAGTTGGGAAGCACCTGTTTGAGAACACGAACTTCTGAAACACGTAATTAATATAAGATGGCAAGTGCATTAAGTTTATTTATGTGCACCGTTCCATATTAAGTACAGAAGAGTGGAATGACTGCAGCTTTGTTCTTTTCCAATTGTTTTAGTTCTCAAGAATGACTGCAAATCAATTCAGTTGATCAATACTTCCAGTGAATATTTTTGGAATAAATTAATCCTACTTTGATCTTAAATAGATACAATTTGGACTAAAACATTTAAGGTATTAAATTGGGTTAAATCTAAATAGTACAACAACTTTGTTTAGTATGTATATACTTCCTGTGATGCAAAGTATCTTCATGAGGCAGTATATAGATAGTCCTCAATTTATGACCACAATTGAGCCCAAAATGTAGGCTGCTAAGTGAGACATTTATTTATTGCCCCATTTTATGACTTTTCTTGCCACAGCTGTTAAGATAATCATTGCAATTGTTAAGTGAATCTGGCTTCCCCATTGACTTTACTTGTCAGAAGGTTGCAAATATTGATCACATGACCCTGGGATACTGCAACCATCATAAATGGTGAACCAGTTGTCAAGCATTTGAATTTTGACCACATGATCATGAGGATGCTGCAATAGTTTTAAGTATGAAAAATGGTCATAAGTCACTTTTTTCAGTGCCGTTGTAACTTTGAATGGTCACTAAACAAATCGTTGTAAGTTCAGTACTATTTATACGTTAAAATATTTTTAATATGTAAAAATCAACAAAAAGTAAAAAAGAAACAATTTATTAACTATAATTATTGGCCATAAATAATGAAATATTCATGACCATTGATTATAGTTTAAAATCTGTACCATAATGAGATGATTTTTGACTCCATAGGTCTGTTAATATAAAGATGGCTTTAGTCCAAAAATCCAATTGAATTTTTCACATCTCTGAAAAAATAAGTAATTATACTGAACAACTATTTATGATACTGAACAACTATTTAAAATGAATTCCAAGTTGACCTTGGCTTTCAACAACATAATTCAAGTACTTTATATACTACAAATACATTATCTTCTCAAACATTGTAACATAAAACAGAAGCAAGATTTGTGTAAGATGATCCAGTTAACTTGGCAGAGCTGAAATTTGAGCAGAGACTTCCCGAATTCATAGTTCCCTATGCTATATTTATTATAAATACACAGTGTAGTTACAGTGAGAAAGATTGCTGTTTCAAGGAGTTTAATGACATATTCAGTGATAGGAAGTGTTAAGTTTTTCCATTTGCCATCAAGAAATACCTGTGTCATACTACTAGATTAAAAAATGAAATCACACAGGTGAGCTGATATCAGTGGAACAAATTAAAAACAACTTTAGATTTAGCAGAGCTCCTCAGAGCAAATCTTGTTTTTCATGAATTTCACATATAAAAAAGAAGAAAAATGGAATTTAGAATAAAATTCTACACAGTTTAATTCAAGTTGTAACATTTGTATGTAACATGGACATTAATTATTTTTGTACAGCTACATCTGAGGAAGGTACATCAAACTAATAAGTTTGTCATGGCCAGGATATACATCATAGCATACTGCTATGGAAATCTTCAAAGGGATGTTTCACTTTGATGAAGGCTCAAGTAATGCAGACTCTTGAA